TGTGTGTGTGTGTGTGTGTGCGTGTCTTCTCTATATTGATCACTACAGTCTGATGAATTAAAGTATCTTCACCCCTCCCTCAAAGTACTTTGTAAAGGGGATGTGGTCGGAGCAGTCAAATCAATTATACATAGCCTGGTAATTACAGCGAGGAATTAAAAGATGTGATGTCAGCATTTTGACAGCCTCCTCTCTTTCTCTCTCCTCCCATCCCTCCATCTCAAAACGGTTTGCTTTATTGCTGGTCTTTGAAAGCTTCACAGATCACACAGTTATCTAAATCTCCCAAACATGGGCTCGCTTTGGGCTAAGTGGTCGAGTGTGTGTACATCCTGTGTGTGTGTGTTTGTGTGTGCATCTCCATTTGCTTCATGGGCTTTTGTGCGTTCACCTATTTTTTGCATGAGTGTCTATGTGTGTCTCTTATTGGGAGGCAGAGAGGTTTAAGTGAAACAAAGCTTTTAGTAAAAAAACCTGAACATCAATAACAGATATGCTGGCTCAGCTGATGTTGAGCTTCAACAACTATCAATGCTTTCAGATCTCCATTCTTTTTATTACTAGTATTTAAGTGAAGTCTGGGATGATAAATTGGAATATTTAAAAATCATAGTATTTTTAGGATCCTATTATAATCTTTAATGAAATCGAATTAATTTGGCACAGAAGGAAAATACTACTTACTGAGTCTTTGCCTTTGCTCAGAAACACACAGGCTTCAAACCAGGCCTTGGCAGAAAAGAGGTAAGAGAGGAGTTTCACATCAGGGACTCTGATCTGGATCTGATTACATTTGAATTCAAAGTAAATATTATTTTATTAATGTCAACACTTTGTCGTGTTGAGTACAATTGAAAATGTACTGAATATGATTCGTGTCTACTCGGCTTCGGTTTGCATCAGGTTAGAAAACTACTCAAAACACAGAAGTGGATTGCCATGTGACAGCTGTCCTGTTCAAAGATGACTGCCAAAGGATCTGGTCTAATACTTAAATTAGAGTTTGTACCACCCGATGAATTCAAAATGCTTAAAAAACATACAACCCGTGAAATCTGTGACATCCAACTGTGACAAACACTCCAGTTCAGACATAAATAAATAAACCATGATCTGCTTTTAGCTCCATAATTTGTGAAGATACACAATTGGTCTGAATAGCTTTACTTTGAAATGTATTTGTTCACTTTCACTTTTGTCTCCTCTTGCCTCTCTGTCACTGTTTGCTGCTGTGTTTAGGTAAAACAGGGCAGTTTCTGCTGATTATCATCTACACTAGTGTGATCTTCCTGACCCTGCAGTGCTTCATGCAGATCCCCTTCACCTACATCCCTCCACATGGTAAAAGCAAAAATTGTGTCAAATTTTGGAATAAGATCATCTTTGTTCAAATAAATGCCACAATCCTGTGATCAGACTTCAAAACTGGAAATATTGCTTGACTGTGGACAAGAACAAAGAAATTCAATGAAAGTGCTGCAAATAATGACTGTCACATATAAATTCAAATCTTTGAGGAAATAAAAAGTATCCTGATGATTATGTCTTCTTCAACAGTCAGTGGCCACTTGGATGATTTCCTCTGCCACGTGGGCATTGTAAGGTAAGGGTGCACATTTGATGTATATCCCAAAATTTTAAATCACATCTACTTCACTGCTAATGCTTGTGTGTTTCCAGATTCAGCTCAGTGGATGCAGGGGACATTGCGCGTCTCATGGCCCCAGACGTGGGCCTCTTCGTTTCTTCCCTTTTCGTTCTGAGACTCTGTAAAAAGCTACTGCGCCGCGTACCCCAAATCAGTCTCCATGAAAACGGAATACCCCCGTCTGACCCTGAGGTAACCACACATGCATCCACTAATATGGCATTATTCTAAAACCTGACAGTGATATCAATTGGATAATTCCCCCCATCTGGCAGGAGGTGGAGACGTCTGAAGCGGAGTCTGATGGAGACAGTGACTCAGAGGGATCCTCCTTTGACAGCTCAGAGGAGACCACGGTGCCGGTTCAGGCGAGTCCGCCCCAGTTTGTCCAGAAGCTGATTGTGTTTGCAGCTGGACTGAGGCTGCTGCTGTCAGCAATCATGAACACAGCAGGGAAAGTGGTGGTGACCTTGTTGCTGGGGTTGGCAGGTACATGACAGCAACTGGTCTATCGAAATTACAATGCTCATACATTTTTGTATACATTTTATATATTTATTTAAAAATCTCTTGCTTATCACACTTTGTTGTGGTGTTTGTGTGTTTGTGTGTTTGTGTGTGTGTGTGTGTGTGTGTGTGTCTGCAGGTATCACGCTGCCTTCCCTCACCTCAGGTGTGTATTTTGGGGTATTTCTTGGGCTTGTGTGGTGGTGGGTGTTCAGCCGCTCCATCAGCCTGCTGCTCTTCAGCTCTCTGTGTGTCATGATGGCCATCTTCAGCGGGGGACACCTGCTGGCTCTGTACCTCTACCAGCTGCCCCTGTCCCAGCAGATTGTCCCACCAGAAGACGTCTACGCCAGGTACAGAACTGATCGGAGACAAACTGTGGACTCATCTAGTGTTTGTATTAAATATAGTTAAATTAAATACAGTATAAGCAATATTGATTTTAGTCTAAAGTAACCTTAACACAAATAAAAGTTACAAGCTTTTGTTATTTCTGATAACCACTGAATGCAAGGACAAACATTTCCATGCAAGGTACATGTTCTACTCAATGAAAAAGTACTTTTGTAGGTAAGAAGGTAGAAATATATAGTAGTGCAAAGTAAGTAGTGTGATCATCTTGGGGCAAAGTATTAATGTTTACAGTGCTGAGAACTGATTCATTTAGTCCAGTCCAGTCAGTGTTAACAGGCCTGGCAGAGGGAGATGAGTTGATCATGGCCCAAAGAATCGTTTTATTCCTCATGCACATCCATTTTTGAACCGCAAACAACCTCTTCACTCTACCGTATCTCTCTCTTCCCCCTGTCCCCAGACTGTTCGGTATGACAGGTATAATCAGAACCAACAGCTCAGACCGCAACTCTCTTGGTCTGCACCCACACGTCAGCTGGCCTGACTTCATCAACCCTTTGGTTCTGCTGCTGCTGTACTACACACTGGTGGCTCTGCTGCACAAATGGGTCCATATAACTGAAGAGGTTTGTGCAAATTGCACTATCACTACTGTGCAACCACAATTCCTGCTGGTGCCATTCTGCTACTAACAATCTCTGCTTGGGCTATAGTGGGTGGCAGTTACAGATTACATTAAAAACTCCAGAGGCTACTTTTCAGTAGTGTCCTTGGTAAAAGGTGGCTGTGGATCAGAGCGGGTCATCCACTAACCAGAGGGTTGGCAGTTCAAACCCAGTCCACCCCATTCCATGTGCCAAAGTGTCCATGGCAAGATACTGAAAGCCAAATTGTCAATGGCACTTTACTACAACTATCACTATCAATGATTCTACAAAAACAAAGACTAGAGTGACTGCTGCTCCCTCGAATGACAAATGTCTTTTTGTGTTTGTGCTATTTTCTCAATTAATATAATTCACGCTCATTAACTTCACATATTATTCAGATGGTATTACCTTACATGACAGGCTCCTCACAGCTACTGTGCTTCTCAGGATACTGTTGATGGTGAGGAATCTGAGAGTCCAGTGGACAGTCCAGACATTCCTCCAAGCTTCTCCAGAGTCATCTACATCTCAGGAGATAAACAGGAGGTAATCTGTAAAAACAGATGTTTGGCTTCTTAATTACATTGTTGGCTCACAGGAAAAATGTTAATGTATTTGGCTCTGAAAATATTTGTTACCTAAGTCTGTGATGGTTAGTTTGCCTCTGATAATTATAGCGTCAGGCAAATGCTGATAAAACAAATAACACATTATAGTTTTACTGCAGTTTCACTGCTGCACATGTCAGAAGACACAACTAACCAAAGATTTTATTGTTTCAGCTTTTGAGCAGCACAGATGATGAAACCTATCTACCTGATGAGGTAAGCCGGTTTATTACCCAATGTTGTTTTTCACATGACTCTCAGATGAGTCAATAGCAGCAATAAACAAGAAAATGGGAGGCATGTGGACTCATTTAAAAAGTACTAGTGTCTCTCTCACTGTTTTTTGCATCATGAACTTTTCAGACCTAAACTTACAGCATGATACACTCTCTGTTTCTTCAGCCAATGATCTTAATGACAAGCAGCTCCTGGCAAGATGTCCATAGTAATGAGCTGGGATCTCTGTTAGGAGGGGCCGGTTTCACAAACTGTCATCCTCCGCCACAGTATGAAGACAAAGACTCAGTGTCTAATGGTAAACACACTAACATCTCTGAATACCTCAGTGCAGTGTTCTCAAATCTCACCTACACATACAATATGTTAAATCCCTGTGAATTAATGAGCTGCATTTGATTTGCCCACTTTTCTTTTGTCCGTACCTTGTGCTAGGGCCAGAAAGTGAGGATGAACTGGAGGAGGAGAGTGAGGAGGTCCTGAACAGTCCGGCAGAGACGATGGCTCCTCCCTCAGGTCCAAGTGGTGTGGTCATCTTTGGACAGTTGGTGCAAAAACACAGCTATGTCAGTGCCCTGATCATCATGATGGTAAAGTAAACTGATTATTGAAGGTTTTGAGTTTGTGTAACAAGTCTTATAACAAACATTACTTGTACCACCATAGAGAAGAGAGACATCTGAAATAGAAAATATGCTCTGGTGTATCTGCAGCATGGGTCAGTTAAATCTAAGTACAGTGTATTGCAATAATAATAATATAATAATAATGATAATTTCACATATACGACACATATATTATTAATGACACTTCACATAGGATAAAAACAGGAGTAAGACACACAAAGTTATCTAGACCTAAAACTATGCTAGTGTTTAAAAAATGTAGTTAATTAACTGTGGGCTATATTTACATTAGCACATTATGCTAATGTTGGCTAGCTGCTAGCTAATTGAGTAAATTTGAAAACAAAGTGATTGTTATGAGTTTGTTAGTCAAGCTAACTATTAGACATTGACTTAACAAATAAATCTGAAAATAAAAGGTGTAAAGCACAGCAGACGTCAGTGTTAACTTTACAATTGTTCATTTAGGATGAAAAGTAAAAAACAGTTCCATGTTTTTTCATATACAGTCTGTGTTAGTGTTGTTCAATGGAGGAAAAACCAAGAATAGCATCAATGCATTTAGAATCTGTGTCTTAAGGTTTGGAGCATCACCTACAACAACTGGCTAACCTTCGCCCTGCTGGTGTGGTCCTGCATCATCTGGATGATGCGAGATCGCCGGCGCTATGCCATGATATCCGCCCCATTCCTCGCCATCTACGGCACCGTGCTGCTGGTGCTGGGCTTCCTGAGCAGCCTGCGCCTGAGCCGGGCCGAGCTCTACCCGGGTCTGCCCCCCGCCGTCATAGTGGACTTCGACCTGAACAGCTACCACCCAGCGCCCTGTGTCCACCTGGGAGCAAAGGTCAGTGGACAGAAGACTGAAAGAAAAAAACTGCTAATTCTTTTCAGTCTTATGACAAAGTTAATGTTGATGCTAAGAATCCAACTTTGTTTATTGAGACAGGTGTATTAAATAAAGCACCTGACAATGTTTTAATATTAAATGTATCTTTATAACATTAAATTCCTGTGACAAGTTCACTGAGAAACAATTCAAACATTTACTAAGATAAATAAAATAAAAATTCAAAACAATCTCTTGGTAGTTTAATTCAGATTATCTGCTTCATCAAGACTGTGTAGGAGGGTGTTCAGACTATCGTATTACTGTAATGTTAAAATGTGATGTCTACATAATGCAACTTAAATCAAATACTCTACGTCTTAATTTGATTGTTGCTTACTCAGAGTATGACATTATACTTAGGTAATCAGAAAATTATAAGAACAACCTTAAAGGACAGAGACCATCTGTGTTTTAATATGTACCTGGCTCATGTCCCATGTATTAACATTGAGGAGGTGGGATTTAGGACCTATGTTCAGAACCTAAGTATGTTTACCATTGCAGAGTATAGCACTGCACATGTCCACTACATGTTTTACTCATGATAAACTGTGTGTGCTGCAGGTCTTCTACAGCTTCAGCTTTTGGTTGATGTTTCGACAGCAGCTGAAGGAAAGACTGGAAGAGCAAAGCTTAAAGGACGAGTCGCTAGATGAAGTCAAAGTCATGTCACGTAATTTATTTTTGGATTTTCTTTGTAAAGATTATGGTTAATGTGTTCAAGAAAAAAAAGAAGTGGTTTGGAGCAATGGAAGACGTACTCACCCTGACATGAGACCAGGCTGTGATTGAATGACTGGCTCTGTTTCCTGCTCTTTTGTCATTTATTTTCCTTCTGTCTTTCAACTTTATCCCCATCTTTCTCACCCTTCTCCTCTCTCATCCTCCCTTCTCTGTTTTCTCTTAGTGGAGGAAAATCCACCCTCACCTCTCATAGCGATGCTGCTCTCAGGGGTTAAAGGGACACTGGTGAAATACTGGATACTCTTCTGCTGCTCCATGTTCTTTGTTGTCAGCTTCTCTGGAAAGGTATCTTTTGACATTTTTAAAAACTAAGTGCTGAAGAAATCAATGTTCATGACATATTCGTCATCAGACTCTCCCAGCTCTGCCACTTAATCTCTGGAATTACCATTTGAAGAAAGTCCATAGCAGTATCTTCGATCTGAAGTCAGGAAACTGGTGGATTTCATTTAAAAAATGATTGTAAACTGCATGAACGGGGGGTCACTGGGTTCAGGGCTGGGTTTGCTTTCATTTAATTGAGAATTTTTTTTATTTATAATTATTATAATAAAATTAGTTCAGAATATTTATTAAATCAATATTTATTCACTATTCAGAATTGATTTATCTTTCTTTACCATGTTCCAATTTTTTAGGTGGTCGTCTACAAGATCCTCTACATTGTCCTCTTCCTCTTTTGTGTTGTCCTCTATCAGGTTAGTGATTTTAGAGACTGGTAAGATACAGACAAATAATATTCGTCTAAAGGACTAATGTGGGACCTTAGTTTTTCAGCCAATGAAGCAGTGACTTACCAGAATCCTGCATCATGTGTCTCCTGGGTGTAAAACCTTTACTCGTACATATTTATTATTATTATATTTATTTTCAGACGATGCAGCCTACTGTTTACGTATTGTTGTATCTCTATGATATTGTTGATTTATTTTTTACAGTCACTATGGAGTCACTGTAACATCAATGAATCTTTAAAATGTGCATTAAAATGTTCAGAACAGTTTTAGCTTGTGCAGCTAAAGTGTGTACGCTCACACAAACACTGCCTGTGCCTCATCAATGCTGCTTTACACTTAAAACTATTGATTACGTCTCATAAACACTCAGCCATTTTTTGTTGCTGTTTTTCAGTTTTTTCTTCACTGTCTTATGTTTCTGCTGACCTTTAAGAAACAGTGGGCACTTACAGGAAGGTCTAATGGCTGTAGAGGTGACGTAACACAAGAGAGCACTGTCTGTATGTTTGGACAACATCTGCAGCAGACAGTTGTTTTACATGCTGGAGCGTGTAATGCTGCTTATTTTTAGAGACACACAACATTCAGATAAAACTGTGAAATCGCAGAAGGTCTGACTAATGAGTAATCCTGGCACCTTCAGTTCTGATTAAGATAAAAGTACTGTCTTTTAAATTCTGCATCGTTCCCCCTCAGGTCCGTTATGACGTGTGGCGTCGGCTCCTGAAGACGTTCTGGGCCGTGGTGGTCGGTTACTCCATGGTGGTGCTGATAGCCATTTACATGTACCAGTTCAGAAGTGTGTCGGGGCTGTTTAGACAGATCATGGGCATGTCGGAGGATGGGTAAATTATTTGTGTTTTTCCTCTTATCGAAATAATTAAAAAAAGGATTTTATTCAGCAGACTTGACCTTTTAATTATATTGTGTTTCCTGTTTGATTCTGTAGTCTTCGTGACCTGGGTTTGGAACGATACGACACAGTGGAGCTGTTTGCGCGTATTCTCCTTCCTGCTGCGTTTCTATTGGCCTGTATTCTTCAGCTACATTACTTCAATACAGACTTCCTGACGCTCACTGACCTCGACAACGTACCTGTCAGACAGGCTTCCAGGTGAGAGCATCCTATTCAAATACAAATACTTTCACCTGACATAAAATCCCTTTTATTTTTAGAGGGGAGTCAATAAAGTACCAAAGGTACCTGAGTGTGTGAGTGATGTGTGACAGAGAAAGTGCTGCACATAGATGAACTGTATGAATGTAGTGTAAATGGGTGATTGGTACTTGTACTGTGGCTTGTAGTGCCTTGAGTTGTCATCAAGATTAGAAAAGCTTCTATATAAATAAAGACTTTTACTACTATTAATAACAGACACTTACACCTGGTCACTTTTCAAGAGTCCATATAACAAAATGGATAGATGTGAATAAATAAGTTTGTATTTTTAAAAAAATTATTTCATTGTAAAGTTTCATTCTATAAATCATAAAGTTGGCTGACTGGTAAATATACTATGCTATCTATATACTACTTGTTTGTTCCATGTGTCCTTCTCTTCGCACAGAGAGGAACAACTCAGGGGTTCAGTCAATGTGATATCTGAGATGTAAGTGATGAATTTATTCCTCCATAAATGTTTTGTTGCATTCACATTTCACAGACTTCAACACTGTGTAAAGACTAATCACAATTTACTTTATCTTACACAGTTGATTTCTCATCACAGTATCGTTCACTTTATGTAAAGTTCACAAATGTGTCTTTGATCTAATTCCCAGCATTAAAGAAAACATTGAAAAGTTCCAGAAAAGGTAAGAGCCTTGTTTGACTATTGATTATTGTTGTTTAATGACTCATAATGCTTACCTGGAACATTTATATACCTATGTAAATTTTGAGAATATTTCATTTAGGACAACCTTTAGAGTTATTTTTTTCCTTCAAATTACAATAGTAAAGAAAAAATTGTGTTTTAGAAAACTCTGAAACGTTCACTCTTGTCCTGCAGACTTGTGAAGGAGCAAGAGGGAAATGGGAAAAGTCAGGAGACTCTGGACGACATCGGACCACAAACGTCATTTGAGAGAGGAGCTGAGGAGCAAGAGGAGATGACAGGAGAGGGTAACTACAGCTCAGAAACAAAACTGGCTCTTCAGTCTCATTTACTGAATGAGAGCTGCAGGAGAGTTGTTTTTCATTTTCAGATTATGTCTGATGCTTTGCTCCTTCCCTCACGATGGATCCTCACTTTTCTCTTGCTCCCAGGAAGTGACCTCAGCAGCCAGGATGACAAGTGGATTGTGATCGTGGACCGTGCAAGCCTGCTGATCATTCAGGCTCTGTCTGGATTCTACAAGCTCCAGGACCTGAGCTGGAGACTGCTGGAGCTCCACAGCCTCAAAATCGTTTCCACAGGCATCATTTGGGTGTCACTACAGGAGGTGGGATGTTTGATGTGTTCATATGTGAAAAAGTATGCATATATATGTTTTTTTCTAACTTAATTCAAGAGCATGATCTTTCAGTTTGAGTGGAAGAACTTACTGATTTCACATTCAAATTTTGAAATGCTTGTAATGCTTGCACTCAAATAGCCCCTGCTTGTGCTTAGATTTGCTCTGGTTGTGCTCAAACTGTGCGCTTGCACTTAGATATTTTGTTGCTTGGACAGATTTCCTCTCCACGTGCTCCTCACAGAGATAGCTTGAGCATGGGGGAAAAGAGCTGAGCCTGGAGGGCAGGAAAATTAAAACATAAGCAAAGGCTATCTGAGTGTGAGCGCATGGTTTTGGTGAAAGCCATTCAAGAACTGAATGTGAAATCAATAAGTCCTGTTCTCCAACTGAACACCATGCTCTTGAATAAAGTGAGGAAAAAACTCTCATATATTTAGTGGAGGTAAAATCACCATGGAAGACATTTTTTTTAATATTCAAGGAGAGAATCACTGTTTTTCCATGTTTTCAGGTTTCTCTGATGAACTTGGTCTTCCTGGTCCTGTGGGTGTTTGCGCTCCCGTTCCCACGATTAAGACCTTTGGCGAGCAGCATCTCTGCTGTGTGGGCCTGCGTCATGGTAGTGTGTAAGATGTTTTACCAGCTCAAAGTCATCAAACCCCTCGATTACTCCTCCAACTGCACCGCTGTGAGTATGCATAACTGTGTGTTTGAGGCAGAATTAAAACATTAAGATCGTTGGTTTTTGTTGTTTGCTCTGGGCATCACCCCTCCTCATTTTTAATCACATGCAACTGTTGAAATGCAACTCACCTTCCTGCTCACACATAGTTGTCTTACGTTTCTCAGGGCCTGGTGCCATCCAACAGCTCAAGCCTGGATGATGGATTCGGGTTGAGGGGGAACATGGTGGAGCTGCTCAGAAGATCTATTCTCTACATCGAGCCTGTAGACCCCATCTATTGGTGTGGAGCGCTGCGCAAGTGTGAGGGCAGGATTCTCCCCTGTCTCAGGGTACGATGAGACTTACTTGTTGTCTGGTTCAAGGAAAATGTAATCCTTGCACAAAACTGGTTTTGCATTTCTGTATGAAGTACACTGAACCAGGTTTATATTGTGACGTACTTGCCCATGCAACATTATATCAATACAAACCATTTTTTAACCTAATAATCACATTATTAATATTCCTTATCATTTGAACCACCTGACATTAGGACATTATGCCCCAGTTCAGTTTTCTTCTAAGAAGTGTGTTTTGTGTTGTAGAACCATCTGATGATTCTTGGGCTGCTGGTGTTCGAGGCCACTGTCCATCGCCACCAGCTCTACTTCCGTCTCCACAACGACCTGAAGACCCCGCCCTTTAGCATCATCTTCCAGGGAATCACGAGGCAGCACCTGGACCACGGTGTCCTGCCCTGCATCAAGTACTTAATCAACTTCTGCTTCTACAAATTTGGACTGGAGGTACGCTTTAAGGCCTGTGTGCCATGTATGTATGTGTGTGGGTGTGTGTGTATGTGTCCAGATGTGATCACATGTTTCTGAGCTGTGTAATATGTCTGTCATTGACGTCTTTCTCACACATGCACTTCCTCTTAGATCAGTTTGATCGTAGGGGTCAATGTGATTGGTCAAAGGATGGATTTCTACGCCCTGCTCCATTCTTGTGCCTTATTGGCTGTCCTGTCAAGGCGCCGCAGGAAGGCTATTGGGGAGGTGTGGCCTAAATACTGCTGCTTTACTGCAGGGCTCATGGTGCTGCAGTATGTGCTTTGCATCGGCATCCCCCCCGCCTTCTGTGCTGGTATGAAAGTTTTAATCTCTGGAATTTCTGTATAAACTATTGTTTATGTCCAGTTCTTGAAAAAAGTGATGCTTTTAAATATCTATAGAGTTTTGCTTTGAAAAACAGATGAGGAAGTGAGAAAATATATATGTAATTGACAAAATAGATTTGTGTCATTCCTTCATTACTAATTTAACCTGCCAACTTTTTTATTAATCAATTATTAGATGATTATTTTTATTTTTGTCTAAAATCCAAAGATAATAATTAAATTAAAATAAGATAAAACAGAGAATAGGCACCAACTGGAATTAGTGAAAATAAATGCCAATTATATTATTCCATATATATTTCCATATATTTCCTGTTATGAAAATGTGTATATAATGTCCATATCTCTGTATTTGTATTTGTTGTCTTGTCTACCTAATTCTGACTATCTGCTGCTGTAACAAGTGCATTTTCCTACCTTTTCTTATCCTAATTTGGGATCAATAAATTACTTCATTAGTGATTGGTGATACGTTTTCTGTTGATTGAGTATTAAATATGTCACTGCATTAAATTCTCGCTCTATGCCCTTCCTATTCTACTCTGTCGTATTTGTCAGATTACCCCTGGAGAACTGCACTTAAACCTTTGACTTCTAATGTCATCAAGTGGTTTTACCTGCCTGACTTCGCCATGAGACCAAATCCTTTATTCATATTCTGTGAGTCTATCTTCCTGTCCTTTGTTTTCCTCTTTTCTCTTATTCCTCTATTCCACTGCTCCTCCTCTGTCATTCCTCATGTCAGATCGTTTGTGTCTCTCCTGCTCTCCGCAGACGACCACCTCCTGTTGCTGTGCTCGTCTCTGCAGTGGTTGGTCTTTGAGGAGGAGAACCGTGCGGCGGTGCGACTGCTGGCCGGAGACAACGTTGAGATCAGCCGCAGTTTGGATCCTTGTTCCTTCAACCAGTTCATACCTGTGAATAACTTCCTTCACTGCAGGTCAGAAATATTATTTTAGCTTTTCAAGTTTCTTATGAGTTGAGTCTTTGTGTCATTTCAGTTGGTCTGAATGTTCATGTTTAATGGCTATCTACACTATCAAAAATATATGTGACTTATGGTTGGATTTATTTTCTAATCACGATGCAAACCGCTCTCAAATCTAAATGTATGGACTCTGAATAAAAGCATGAACAAGCCGGAAGTCCATAATCAAGCACTTAGTTAATTCTCAAAACAGCTTCCTGGTCTGCAGGTTAAACTGCAGGTGGAGAACCGGGACTGCATCATTCTGGTTTGTGGTTGTTTTAGGAGCATTAATGGGTTGAGTTAGATCATTAATTTATGTCCGTTGTCAAACTCGTGAAAGCTGTTCTGGTAAACTGAAAATGCTGGATAAGCACTCATGGACGTTTCCCATTTCCATGATAGATCAGTGGCTTTGCTTATGGATTTCATTTCACTTTCTGCTGCAGGCCATCATCAGATTTCTTGCTGTTGACAGAATATATTTCAAAAAAACGAAACTCAACCACCAAGGACATATTCATGGACAACGCATTGATGTTTAAGAAGTTGTGTTGTTTCATTTATCAAGATTTTTTTCTAATTTTTTTTCAGGCTCAGAACTGCATCCCTAAATTTGCAATTTGAATATATTTGGGCTTGAAATTTAGATTTATTTTTTAAAATGTTTTATAGTATATTGAACTATCAAAAATATCAATTAAATAAAATCTATTTATTGATTGAAAGAAATAAGCATTACCCTACATTGTCTTCTACCATTTAATTACACTAAAACAGCAACAGGAGTTAAAAAGACATTTACGGTAAATCAGAAGCTTCAGTGAGAGAATGGTTATTTTAGTTTATCTCAGCATAAAGACTAGAAACAGCTAGACTGCCCTGGCAAACCACGTCGGGCTGTTTGCCAGGAATAACACTGTAAAACCACAAGTTGTTGATTTGACTTTGTTGTTCACATGTGATACAATATGTTAATCAGTGTTAGCTGGATGGAAACATCCGCAGTAAGCTAACTATCTGTAGCTTTACATTGACGATACTGATGTGTATTGATCTTCTTATCCATCTCTTATTGGCACGGAAGCAAATATGTGTTTTTTCAGAAATGTTCTTGGTGCATGGTGAGAGGTGTAGTGACTGTAAAATGCTGCTGTTTATGAAGATGAATTTAAAACCACAATAAACCTTCTTCAAATTTTCACTCAGCAGTAATAATCAGCCTGTAAACTTTTATCATGATAGTTCTGGATAAAGGCTGAGATATAATTTTTGGCCATATTACCCAGGCCAAAATGATGTCTTTTTTTGTGAATGCAGAGATAAATGGAGTTGTTTGAAGATGCAATTTGACAAGAAGGATAAGAAATGACTTCATGTTGTAAAATGTCCGTCTCTCCCTGGTCTTCAGGTGCTACCTTGACATGGTGAAGGTGTTTGTGTTCAGCTATTTCTTCTGGCTGGTGCTCTGCCTCATATTCATCACCGGCACCACTCGGATCAACATCTTCTGTCTTGGCTACTTGGTGGCCTGTTTCTACTTCATGTTGTTTGGCGGCAGCGTGCTGATGCAGCCTGTCAAATACATCCTGCGTCTGTGGGACTGGCTCATCGGCTACACTTGCTTTGTGATTGCCATGAAGAACCTTCTGTCTGTGAGTTACCACACAGTGATCAAGTTCAGCATTTGTCTGCCTCATTTTAGACATGCATTGATTTATTGTTTAGCTTTTCTGCTCTTTTTTGCCTCTACAATACTGATTACTGCCTCTTTCTGCCTCTTTCCCTGTTCAGCTCGGTTCTTGTGCGTACCTGGACAGCCTGCTGAAGAATGGCTGCTGGTTAATCCAGGCCTTCAGTATGTTCTGCACCATCAAAGGCTACGATTTCCGTAAGTGTCTGTTATGACAATCACTGACAGCTTCCATGTATTTATATACATTATGTGTTAAAATAGTGAAGTAAAGAGACACATTGATGATTTTATATTAACATCGTGAAAGATCAGAACATGTTTTAATTTATTTAATATTAAATGAATTCTGCTGCTGTCACTTTCATGCAGTGTACATTAGAAACTTGGTCGCACTTTATTTTACAGTGTGCTAATAAGACTTAACAAAGCAAACTGTATACCAAACAAAACTAGAAATAATATTTCATTGATTAGACAGGAAACAACCCCAGTTGTACTTTATATTAGATTTGACAAACCAAGACATAAAACCCATTTTAAGTTTTGTCTAATTTGATATAAAGTACAGATTAGACCCAGATATCTTCAGATAAAAAAGAGATCCCTAAAGACATAATTTGGTACTAAAGTGGAAAAGGAAACAATTAATACACAATATGCTGCATTCATTTACTGCAAATGTTGTATGATAATGGTAATAAGTAGCAGAAGAAGCCAACACATACAGTACAAACCAATGACAAACTGTATAAAATGAGAGGTAATAATAATAATGCATTATTTTGATTCAAGTCCCTCTAAGTTGTTTGTAAAGTATGTGATTCATGACTCACTTATGCACCCTTCTGGTTCTGTACTAATAATAGTGAACAATAGTGAAATATGGATGGGAATTTAGCTATAATGTGTGTAGAAGCTTTATACATGTGTAATATTTAATCTTACAGTGTACATATACAAATACACACACATACTGTTTATGTATATGTATATATATGTATGTCTTCTCTCCCTTGGCAGCTGATCCTGATGATGAGTGTGAGCTGCCGGAGGGCGAGGCTGGCATCGTCTGGGATGCGATCTGTTTCACTGTCCTCCTCGTACAGAGGAGGGTCTTCCTCAGCTACTACTTCCTCTATGTGGTGTCGGACCTCAAGTCTTCTAAGATATTGGCCTCCAGGTCTGGGCTCTACAAATACTCATCAAACTCCTGTTTACAGATAGTGGGGGTACAAATATGCTGAGGGTATATCACTGAAAGTGACATGTCTGCAGCTGACAGTGTGAATTTAGTGGATCTCACTCTCTAATTGTCCTTTTATCTGATCAGATGTTCCGTTCCTCTTCTCTCTGTCTCAAAGGGGTGCTGAGCTGTTTGAGGCCAAGGTGAAGAAGCAGGTAGCAGCCAGACTGGAGATGGAGAAGAAATCTGTGGAGACGCTGAAGAAACAGTAAGACACATTCAGCAAAACCGACTCTTCAGTCAGTTTAAATTCACACAAATTCAAAAAAGATGTTTTGATACCAAGTTCAATGGTGAATGTACAAAGTGAGGTCTGACTCTAAGAAAGAGTAAACTAGCAAACTGAGGTTTCCTGGTCCAACAGACTTTAATTATTTTAGAGTGTATTAGAGTACTAGTGTGATGGACCGTATTCAGACCTGGTATTGAAATCTGTCCTGAGTGATCTGATCAGAGGTCAGCTCTAACAACACAGCTGAATGCATTGAAATGCATCATGAATATGTCCTGAGATCCAATCACTTTTGGAGGTGGTTTGGGACACATGTGGCCACAGTCTTTTCACTGTGTGAATGCAAATGTGTTCGGGGCCACATACGAAAGACTGCTTACTCAGCTGATGCCCTCTATACAGTTTAAACATATGTTTATGCCAGACTTACTCTAACCTCAACCATAGATCCTACTTGAGAACAATGTTAACGAAAAGTAAACCACTGACCTCCCCACCCTCTTCCTGTAGGATGGAAAAGATCAAATCGAAACAGAAGCCCCCATCAGCAAACAAAGCAGAACCTCCTACGGTTCAGGAGCAGGTGACGCTGGGTAACACAAGTGAATCTATTTTCTTTTTCTACTGTTAATAACCCATCAAATCATGAGCAGGCTTTCACAACTGTATCGAAAATGTCCATGAAAAATATGTTTGGTACAAAAACTAATGTCTCTAAAAAAATTCTTGTAGCAAAAGAGATCTTAAATATTCAGTTGTTTTTAAATATCTTAAAAAAGCACAGATTTTTTCTATTTTTTATAAATTTGATACAGATGCAGATATAGAGAAGAGTTTGAAGTTTGTTTTTATGTTGTGCGATTTGTTCAGTCCAGCTTTAAAAATGTATAGTCAATGATGTGTAAAACCCATGGAGTTCATCAATCTCAAACACCATAAGAAGGAAAACAAATGTCATTTTGAACAGCATGAACTGTGTTTCTCAGGTGATGATGAGAAGGCAAAGAGAGATGCAGGAAAATGGTGGAAGCCTTGGGTCTCTCAGCCTGGAGGTGAGCAACAACACCACACAACCAATACACTGCTTGGTTCCCTGAGAGTGATGCACACATTTTTTTAAATCACAGAAAGCATAGCAATGGGAAAGAATGAAGACCGGCCACTGCGGCAGCTTTATATCAGGTGCCTGTTGAAAGGCTGAACACAATGCGTCTTGATGTAGTTTTGACACTTTCTGTTTAACACAGTGGAAAACAACTGTGGCTACCATCTGTTTGAGAGCGACACGGAGGAGGAAGAGGAAGAAGATCTAGAGAAGAAAGAGGAGGAGGAAGCACCAAAGAAGAAATCTGCTTTCCAGGTAAGAGCCAGAAAAACACCTGAGACATGAACCTAAATATGAATGAAAGGGACACGTTACATGTTTTCCATACACTGAATGATAATAGTGACTGACAGCCAGTGGCTGGAGGATTTCGTTTTGCAGCAGATATTCACTTCAACTCGTGGATGAACTAATTCGATTTTGATGGTCAATGCTCAAGGTCACTGTGACCTCAGAAAAAAACATTTCTTACCTTGTGAACGCATCTCAGGAACACTTCCAAGGGTCTTCTTCAGATTGGTACAAAATTGTGACCTTGTGTTCTTGATTGAATGTGATTCATCAGGAACACCCATAGTGATTTCATTACGTCTGGCAAAACCTTCACTCAAAGATGAAATGATTCGAATCTGAGATTTCACCAACTGATTCGATATGGGTGGCCAAAGGTCAAAGGTCACACTGGTTATAGTCTTTTTACTGCTGATGTCTCTCTATGGTAACTTCAGCAGCCCGTGACTTGTAACTGTGTCTGTGATATTCCAGCTGGCCTATGGCGCCTGGGTGACCAGCTCCAAGACGGCACTGAAGGACCTGAAGACGGATAAGAAGAAAAGAAAGAAAGAAGAGAAGAAGAGAGCAAAGAAAGAGCTGCAGAGACTGCAGGGTGAGAGAGCACCATGTGGTGTTTACAGCATTTAATCCCCCTCCCCAATCAGTCCTAATATAATCCTGTTTTTGAATGTGGTTTATGTGAACCAGCTATTTTATTGCTTTTATAAATGATTTGAAAATCTAGACACATTACTGAGACTTAGAGGTCACAGGTTTGATCCCCACAGGCACCAGTGCAGAGGAGAAGGAAGACCAAAGCTAAATGTAAATCCATTTCACAAAATGTTCAACATTTTCAAATCATTCAGAAATTTGTTGTGAAAGGAGCCTGAGAAGCACTGTAAAGGATTAATCAAAATCTGAAACTCTGCAGATGCTAAATCTAATCTGCCGAGTGGATTAAAGAGTAGTGGATTACAGGGTAGAAGAGAAAAGTAGAAGAAGATACAGTATCTTGTTTGCAAAGTTTTCTCCTGTCGAAAGTGCCCAAATTTAAAGTGCCTTTTATTCAAAGCCTTGATTTAATCAGTCCATTATATTTTAATATTGCCTAAAGATGAACATTATGGCACCGGGGGATTTATCTGATCACAGAAGCTTGAGAATACATTCATAAGTTTATATAATATTATTAATATTTTGTCCTGGAACTTGAGGTCACGAGGTCACAAAATCTGTATCACCCTGTGGGGACCATGAATCTGATACTAATCTAGCTGATCATTGTGGAGACGTCCTGCTGTTGTTGGTCACCAGGTCGTCACTAGCTGCAAAAAAGTTATTTAAATTCCAAACCTTTTTACAGGCATTGATAGAGCGGACTCCAGTGAACTGGAGGAAAGCACTGTGGAGGAGGAGGTGGCAGAGGAGGAAAAAGGTAAACACACATGAATGACTTTATTACACAAACCACTGGATATCACCACCAGTGTTTGAGTGGTCTTTTTGGATCCATGTGTACTGTTTGTATGTGTCCTCTCCTGACAGAAAACATCCTGCAGCGTGTCATCAGCACCCTGAAGTTCAGCTGGGTGTTCGTTCAGTCTCTTCTCGACGACCTGACAGAGGGTCTCAACTCGTTCTGTAAAGACAACCTGGACATTTCCAAAGTCCTGCGCTTTGAGCGAGCGTTACTCAACCAGCAGCAAAAGAAGGTGGGATGAAAGGATATAACTGACCCCAACCCTTTTATATAAAATAACTATTTATTGAGAAATATGTTGTTAGATTTAGGAAAAAAAATGTAATCCAAAAAAGTTCTTTTCTACGTACTACATATCAAATTTTAAGTTTATTTCAATTCAGTGAGATAACTTGATTAAGTAAAGATCGGAAAACAAAATAGAAACAACTTAAATATTATATGTATTCTATAAAGTACATATCGTACAGTATGTACTTCCCACACACACTGTGTCTTGTGTGAGCTACAGCCTCAGTCTTTTCTTTCTGACAGTGTCAGCGTTGTGTTTCTCCCTCTTCAGGGCAAAGAGGTGAGCCAGCAGAGTGTAAAGCAGTTTTATGAGAACTGGCTGTCCCGTCAGAACACACAGTCGTCTCAGGATTACCTGGATGACTCCTCACCTCCTCCATCCTCACCAGCCATCATCTCTTCACACCATGCATATGCCAAGCTGAAGAACCAAGCGTCGAAAGTGTCCTGGGGCAGCAGTGTTTCCAGGTAGGACACAGAGTTAGTCACATAATAACGTCTTCTCATGATGTCTCTTCTCTGTCTGCATCCGCTGTGCCCTCTGTGTCCAAGCAAGTAATGCAAATAAGTAGTTAATATAACAATTCGGCTTAATTGGCTTTTCTGAAGTTACAACTGCCAACTAATCCTAAAAATTGCACAAAGATAATCAAGGCAAGTTCATTTAGCACATTTCAACAACAAAGCAATGTAAAGTGCTTTACATAAAAAAGTTAAAAGTTACATAGAAAATAAAAAATACATAAATATATTGATAAATAAATAAAAAAGTAACAGTGCTATGTAAAAACTTTATAATTATTTAATTTAATAAAATCTGGTTGCAAAGTTTTATTTACTATACTATATAGAGTCTACCTGTCTGTAGACCACTTAACTGCTCTCTCTCTCCTCCACCTTCAGCTGTATGACTGATGAGACGATGCTGGGCTCCCGGCAGCCGACCCAGGAGGAGCTGGACGAGCCGCCCGCCGCCGACCAGCTCAGACGGAGGCTCCTGAAGACGACCAACATCGACCTCAACTCCTTTGAGATTGACGATCTCTCACCAAGGTGAAGGAGAAATCTTATGGTTCACACACAGATTTGCTAAAGGTTTGTGTAGACAATAAATTCATAACTAAACTCTCAGTGGCCACATTATTAGGTGGACCTGCAAAATCTAATGCAATCCAATATGACAGCTCAGCCATAAGTTCTTCCTGTACAAATTAATAATGTGTGCTGACTTTGTGTAACTGGATGTTTACAATTGAAGTTGCAGTTTGCAGTGGTGTTGAATAACACTGTTCTATATATTAAGAGATGTTATCGATTGTTTTCTATATAAATCGATTAATTAGGCCATAAAATGTCGTTTTGATGGTTGTTTTGTCCAGATATTCACCTTTTTTCTTTTAATATTCAGTCTATCAACTGATAAATTGATTATCACAATAGTCTGCAATGAATTTAGTTGTTGATTTTTTAAATTAATTAATTAATCGGTTAGTTCTAACAGTGTTGACCTTCACATTTCTCAACATGAAGGAGGAGAAATATTTGAAAACATATTTGAACACAAAGCTGTCCATTTCAACACCACCCCTATGAGCTATCCAAAAAAATTCAATCAACATCAGGGGTTTTTGTGATGTAGAATTTGTGGCATATCTGTGGTATTATATTGCACTAAATTAAAATAGGTGTACCTTATAAAGTGGCCAGGGTGATGATGCAAATTAATTAGATGTCAATTATTCCCTATGGTAAGTCTAGACTGTCCTTAAATAATATCCATTTCCCCCACAAAATGAGCACAGTTTACATAATGTCCTTTAAATGTGGAAAGAAGACATTGCAGAGTTTAGCCATTTATTCATATAACCAGACGTGGGAAAGAGCATCGACATGAAACAGATCAGAATGAGGATTTACTCCAGAGGCCCAGTCCATCATGCAAATGTGGGCAGAATGTTTTGTTTGGGAATCAACCACCATCGATTAGTACAAATTAAATGGAAGCCATCATGTTGTTTTTGTCTGAGATGTTTTTTTCTCCTGATGATTTATTTATTTCCCTACATCTTACTTGTTTCTCCATTTTGATTTGTTTCTTATGTGTTTTTATATTTCTTGAATGTTTTTGAGCAACACAACATTTGCTCTCTACATGCCTTGTGTAAATGTCCTTTATTTGTGAAGATAAAATATCTGGTTCCATCTTCCTCTCAAAAGCTGTGAAGATGGTGCCCTTCCAAAGGAAGATCACAAACAGGAAGAGGAGGAGGAGGAAGACACAGAAGACGAGAAGAAACTTGAGCAAGAACAAGAAGAAACAGAGGAAGAAGAGAAAGACGACCTGCATGAAGAGGATCGTGAGGTCGAGAAAGAGCTTGAGCTGGACGAAGAACAGCAGCAGAGAGAAGAAGATGAGTGCATTGAATATCCAGAATGCGCCTTGGTGGGTTTCAGGGAGAGTGATGGAGAGAAAAGTCTGGACCTCACGGAGTCGCCCAGGCCTCTGAGTCAGGAGACGAGGAACCTCACTGCCAGCGAGCTTCTGCTCAACAAGTCAGTCGACGCTAGAAATGTTTAGAGCATCTTTTAAAAAGTTCTTCAAGAGACAAGCTGCTAATCTCCATCTCTTTCTCTTTCTCTGTCTCTTCCTCACTTCCCTCCATCCTTCCTGCAGCATGTTTGAAAATGATGAGATCTCAGACTCCGACAAGTTTTTTGTGACGTTGCCGAGGCCACTGAAGCTTCTGTTTGCCCTCTACCACACCATGGTGTCCAAATCAGAGATGCTCTGCTATTTCGTCATCATCCTCAACCACATCGTGTCGGCCTCGTTCCTCTCACTCATCCTGCCCATTCTCATCTTCCTCTGGGCCATGCTGTCTGTGCCTCGGCCGTCCAAACGCTTCTGGATGACAGCTATAATCTACACAGAGGTAGGTTTATCACCAGAGCTACAGGAGGTTTTTTTTCACAATGATGTTATTGCTCTGCTTGCACAGTAACATAAAGATAGCCTTTATCAATTTTGCATACATATATTACTGTGCTCATATTTTCCATGATGCTGCACCACATGAATATATAATACAGTAATTTAATACTATCACAAGCTTTAAGTGTATGAACCACATTATTCAAGCTGCATTTTATTCTATTTTTGAACATCCATCCATCATCTATACCGCTATCCTTTAAGAGTCACGTGGGGAGGTGACATTGGGCGAGAGGCGAGATACACCCTGGACTTACGGTTAATTTAAGATAAGATAAGATAAAACAATCCTTTGTTAGTCCCACAATGGGGACATTTGCAGTGTTACAGCAGCAATGGCAGTCAAACTGACATCAGTAAAGTAATAAGTAACATGTAATACCTATGAGTGTAAGGAATATTAAAATCTAAATGGAATAATAACTAAACCCCATGCACAAGGACTTCTTTCTTTGAGGAGGAAGTCCACTGCAGAGCATCTATTACAGAACAAATGAAATCCAAGTTGCATGTTGATCCATTACTGTCACAACAGAAAAGGTTTGATTTAGGGGCGACATCTTGAGAAGACGTCTGGTGTTATTTATTTATTTGTTTTGATATTTTTTCTCATTCAGTCTCAAATGATTAAAACTGGTGTTTTGCTCAATCAAGGACTTTCTCCTCTGTTTCTCTCAGCTGACTGTTGTGGTGAAGTACTTCTTCCAGTTTGGTTTCTTCCCCTGGACCACCTCTGCCTACAGAGGCATCAATGCAGAGCGGCCCTTTGCCCTGCCCAACATCATCGGGGTGGAGAAGAAAGATGGCTACGTCCTCATGGACCTCATCCAGCTGCTCGCTTTGTTCTTCCACCGCTCTATTCTCAAGGTTGTCATGAAAGACGACGGTTCAGATACATCTGCTCATTATCTAACATCCCCTTGTGCCACAGTATCTCTTGTACAGGAATTCCAGCACAGTTTCCGTGCAGCTATGTTGAATTAACTTGTGTGTTCATGACTGCACAGTGCCATGGGCTCTGGGACAACAAGGAGGTCGAGATGCCCGACTTCTTCAAGAAAATGAAGAAGAAAGTGGACAAGAAGAAGATGATGGGTGGTGATAAGATGGGCAGCAAAGAGAAAGCTGGACGCCGGCTGAAGTTCCTCCCGCTTCAAGCCTCCACCACCTCCATTTTCTGTAGACGAAAGAGACGCGACTCTGGCGGATCTCAGGATGGTGAATATTCAGATAGAGGACATTTTTATTAGAGTTTCACTTCTCCTCTCTTTTCTGATGTCTCTCCTTCTTAATTTTTGGTTTGTAAAAGTTATGCAGGAGAATATGTTTTCTTCTGCGTTTGTTTGTTGGTTTGGTATTTTACTTTTATATTTCCTTTTACCAGGATTTTGCAAAAACTACCCATAAAATGTTGGTGTGGATCTGAATCAGGGGGACTTTTTCCTCTCTTTCTTAAATTTTTATTTTGATATTTTCACTGATTTACAAAGAAATAATTAATGGATCTTTATTAAAATATTCAGGTATATTTAGGGAGCTGATTTCTTTGAGTGTGTGAAATTTAGTGCAGCTCTATTGAATTTAAGGGAACTGTTGGGCCTCGGCGGAGGTATGAGCTCTACTAAGAAACATTCTAGTTGCTTGATGAAATTTATCACCAGACAAGACTCACAAGACTCCATTTCATTATTTTCACTGGAGAGGTGAAGCCCAAGAAGCAGCACAGCAAGAAGACAAGACGACAGCAAAACAAGGTCCCACTGACCAGGAAGCAGAGGATCAGACAGCAGATCAGAGAGAGGATGCTTCGGGCCAAAGCTGCCATCATAGAAGTGTACGATGTTTTCTCTTTCTTGCTTCACATATGACATGCACAATGAGCTGCATTTCTTTTTGATTAATTGCATATAATCTTTTTTTGTTGCTTACAATATACAATGTTTTGTTTATGCCTGACGTCTGAGAAAAGTTTGCACCTGTAGAATAGTTTTCCAGCTTCTATGGGTTTCTGATTTCTGTACTTCTGTCTCTTTTTCTCTAGTGCCCTTCACATTTATTTACCCATAAGGCAGTTTTTCTACGACATCATCCACCCAGACTTCAGTCCTGTGTGTGACGTCTACGCCCTCATGTTTCTCATCGACGTGGTCAATTTCATTGTGACTATATATGGATATTGGGCTTTTGGGGTTAGAGTCTTTTGTGTATCTCGTCAAAATCAGCATACGCATCTGTATGAATGTTACAAGATACATTCACACTCAAATGTTCAATATGAAAAAATCGGTGTCATATTTGTGCAGAAATATTCCGCAGCAGCCGACATCACAGAGTCCCTGTCGGAGGACCAGGTTCCAGAGGCTTTCCTGGTCATGCTACTTATGCAGTTCGGCACAATGATAGTGGACCGGGCTCTCTACCTGAAAAAGTCCCTGATGGGAAAGTGTGTTTTCCAGGTGGTGCTGGTGTTTGGCATACATTTCTGGATGTTCTTCATCCTCCCCGGGGTCACTGAGAGGTCAGAGTTCATCACTTTCATTTGTTTCTGGTCACTCAGCTGTAATATTCACTACATTGACACTGAGCCCTTGTTTAATGTACATGCACACCACACACACACACGCATTTTAAAAAAAAGCAAAAGGGGTGATGCATACCCTGCATGTGCATTGTATACATCACTGCAGTGTCTTTGTTAATGACCTAGACTGTGGTGGCCCACCATAGTTTCATAGTGATACACTCCTGGCCCTGATCTGTAAGAGCATACCATGTGTCCCACTCTGTAAAATGGATAAAGGGTAAAAAAGCAAAAAAAGAAAACACATTTCAAAACACGTGTCATTTATTTCTCTGCAGGCGGTTCAACAGGAATCCTGTCGCTCAGCTCTGGTACTTTGTAAAGTGCATCTACTTCGGCCTGTCTGCCTACCAGATCAAGTGTGGCTACCCAAACCGCATCCTGGGAAACTTCCTGACCAAGAACTACAACTACCTGAACCTTTTCCTCTTCCAGGGGTATGAAATAGTTTCAATCAGGATAGACTTCAAATAACAAATAAACTAAAATTATAGCCATGAATCGCTGAAATTACAGCTGAGAGTGACTAAGAGGAGAACAGAGTTGACAGCAGTGACATGATTGGCTGATTGAGATCATGGTGAGATCAAACTGGATCACCGTAAACATCCAACAAGCAGCTGATCAGAAGAGGTGGGGAGAGTGAGAGAGGACATTTTACAAAACAAACGTATTATTCTTGTTTCCTCTCCTCTTTCAGGTTTCGTTTGGTTCCCTTCCTGACAGAGCTGAGAGCAGTGATGGATTGGGTTTGGACAGACACCACTCTCTCTCTGTCCAGCTGGATTTGTGTTGAAGACATCTATGCGAACATATTCATCCTCAAGTGCTGGAGAGAGTCTGAGAAAGTAAGTGGGACACTGATGTACTGCTGCAGCACCGCCATGCAGCACACACTTGATAAAGAGAACGATATAAAAGCTGTGTAGACACGATCATTTATATCGTCAGCTTCTAAAATATGACAAGTGGTTTCTTCCAGAAATATCCCCACACTCCAGGGCAGAAGAAGAAGAAGGTGGTGAAATATGGAATGGGAGGATTCATTATCTTCGCTCTCATCAGCATCATCTGGTTCCCACTCCTCTTCATGTCACTGGTCCAGTCAGCAGCCGGGGTGACCAATCAGCCGGTGGACGTCTCCATCCAGCTCAGCATTGCAGGATACGAGGTCAGGATGGACATGAGTGTGTTAAACGTTTGGTGTTAAGACCCTGTTATACCCCCTTTTGTTTTTTTCTCCTCCTCCTTTTTTCTCACTCTCTCTTCTGTCAGGGGCACGTGATGAGCAGGACTAAGTGGAAGGGGATTTAAGGACTTTAATCGCCATCTGAGTGCCAGCACCCTGTGTCATCGTGGCACAGTGATAATTGTTTGTTTCCTTTTGAGTTGGGGGTTTGATATTCCTCTTTTGGTTTTTTGTTTTATTTAGATATTGTTTCTTAGGTAGGCAGGAGGGGAAGTATCTGGATCAATGAGCAAAGAGAGAGAGTGAGAGAATTGGGACTGTCTTCCTAATTAAACTTACGCTGAGCTTCATAAGACAACACTGCAGCTCTCTGCTGCACAGGGCCACACTGCAAACAGCTGACCGCTACCACAACAACCACCTCCCTGCAGTGCAATCATGATGTGCACCAGTAATTATAGGTCTTTTACTCTCTGGTTTGTCTGCTTTCGTTTTCACAGCCTCTATTCACCATGAGTGCCCAGGAGCAGAACCTGGTTCCATACACAGAAGCTGGATTAAACCGGCTCACTAAAGTCTACGCTACTCATCCAGTAAGCACCACTTCATTTTACTGTGTGTGAGACCAAATACGAAACAATTCACCCCAGCACTTTAAGTTAGAGGAACAAGATATCAATGAATCGGACATAACAATGATCTGTTTGTGTGTTTTAGGATTTGATAGTCACCATCTATTAAATGTTCTCTCTCTCTCAGTCTGCCATGCAGTTCATAATGAACTACTATGCTGAGGACATCATCGTTGCTAAGATCAAGAGTGATGCCAGTCGGCTGTGGAGCATAAGCCCGGCCAGTCGAGAGGCCATGATACAGGAGCTCACCAACTCCTCTCACATATACATAACCCTGGGCTGGACGCTGCTAAGGTCAGTGTGTGTTTCATAATCTCTAACAATGTGCCTGTATGTGGTCATGTCGCTTCGCTGCTTATGTATAAATTCATAGTAAACATGTGTAGCTACTACTAAATGACTGATTTACTGTTATATGCATTTTTCTAAAATGTTAAGTGCTTAAATATATTTTCATACTTTTTGTTTTCACTACTTACTCTTTTCTGTATGTTGATCACTAGTTGACAATCTGGATTAATAGTTAATGTGTGAATGGATGTGAATAGTTGCACATGTCGCCAATGTGAATACATGTACTTCAGGCAACAGTAGAAAAAAGTGCAGGGCAGGATCAAAGTCAGGCAGTCAGGCGATGAGCATGAAGACAACCATACAGTGTAAGCAGGGAGGTGCAGTATGAAGACAGAGGGGATGATCTGGTCAATTGAAACAGTTGTGTGCAGGGGGTGGAGCGGTGGTAGAGGGGTTTGGCTGGGTCTAAAAGACACACGTGACCGGTGACATCACACGTGACATGACTGTCAGAATCATAGATGAATGTGATAACCGTGACACATTATGCACAGATGTACAAAGCTTTGCATAAACTGTGCCACTTAACACTCCTCAGGGATGCGTCCATATCGATGAATGCAGAGACGGTGGGAGAACACACTGTGAAGTTTGAAGACAAGACCTTGAGAGAGGGGATCATCCACATGCTCAAAGGAAACAGCAGCAAATCTGTGTGAGTCTCTGTCAATGTGCACAAACAGCTGCTCTTGACTGTTTCATCTTCTGCAGGTTTCCTTTAGAGATGCTAGTGCAAAAAAGAAGAGCTTCATGGAATCAGACGAGTAAAACTCATACCTACAAATGTAATACGAATAAAACTAAGAGTTGTGTTATCAAGTATTTCCCAACACTTTCACAGCCCAGACATTCATCTCATCACATACAGTATATTTTGTTATGTTGTGTTATTCTGCTCTGCAGGATCATTAACTCTCTGCTGCCAAAGTTCATCAGGGGTCCCAAAGGATCCGAATCCAAAATGGCGACCAGGATGAAAGTAGGTTAGTTACAGTTTATTTTACATAAAGAAAATACTGCAGATATTCTTTGGCAAATTATAATTGCATGGTACTAATGTCATGCATTTGCTTGTAATTTAGCTCCTTTTGTCTCTTTCTATGTAGGATTTTTGAAATTGTATATCAATGAGGTCTGGACTCCAGAGAGGATCAGCTGATCAAAGATCCTCCAGCAGTTTAGTTTGACCATGGTGTCTTTTCCCCCCCCAGAGCACTCAGACCGCCCAGACCTCCAGGCGCTCGCTTTCTTCAGGCCCATGTCGGTCAAACTTCAGCAGGTCAACAGGACGTCAGGGAAGGACGCAGAGCAGTGGTGGGTGGTGGAGGAGTGCTCGCCTGTTCTCACCTCGTCTGAGCTCAAGTGTGAGAGTATAGAGATCGTGGTGTTCAGTGATAAGGTCAGCCCCTCCAGTCTGGGCTTTCTGGCTGGACACGGGTAGGTAACAAGACAAATTTGATCTGCACTCTGTCAAGAAGTCAATATTATGATTGTGGCTGGACTTGATTCTCTCTTCTCTGGTTTTAAAGAGACATTTCAATGTGCAATGCAGTAAAACCTGTCCTTGTTTACAAAACTGTTATTTTTCCTGAGCTTAGAAAACACTGTCCCTGCTCACTGGTTCTCAACTTTAGAATTTATGATGATGATAATCCACACACCTCGTTTCTTTCATTTATTATATATATTACCAGTTTTCACAGTGGTGGGATGTTATAAACTACACTTCCTCAGTTACTGTACTTGAGTAAATTTTTCATGCATCTGTATTATAAATATTTTTTTACTTTTCTTTATACATATATCAGCATATATATTTTCTGTGATATACAGCTGATATAGATTTAAACGTCAGCAGATTTGGGGAGAACTGTCCCTTTAATTTCACATCTGCACAAGTCAATTAAATGATCTAATGTAAAATTCTATATTGTTAAAACTTCAATGGGTTTTTGACTCTCACGCACACACCTTAAACTCCCTCACCACAGCATCGTGGGTCTGTACATGTCCGTGGTGCTGGTCATCGGAAAGTTCGTCAGGGAGTTCTTCAACGGGATCTCCAGGTCCATCATGTTTGAGGAGCTTCCGTGCGTGGACCGGGTCCTGAAGCTCTGCACGGACATTTTCGTGGTCCGGGAGACGGGAGAGATGGAGCTGGAGGAGACACTGTTTGAGAAACTCATCTTCCTCTACCGATCGCCGGAAACCATGATCAAGATGACCAGAGAGAAGAAAGACAGCTAGGGTGTGAGGATATATCACCAATCACTTGCCATATCGATCAAGTTGTAATAAGGATGAGAATCCATTTCTCCGATACTAATCTTGACCTCTGACCTTCATGGACAGACTTTTTTAGTGGATCAGTAAAATATTTTCCATTGTAAGAATTCATCCTTTTCCCGATTTCATTTATAAACATGTTTAAAATTTCAATAAAGATCATCGATGTAGATTTAACTTGTCTGAGATGTTTACCAGTATTATGTCCCTTCTTTTAACAAGTTCATCCAGGAAAACGATTATTCAATAACTAACAAGGCACTTAACTGTAACACCAGTTAATCTGGACTGCAGTTAGATCAATTTGACTGCAGGCTACTATTTGTCATTGTTAATACAATTTTCTGCCCATTGAGTATAATGCATGCATTTCTGATTTTGGATATAGGTTTTTACTGTTGTAAAGTACACACATCATCATACTCTTTTAGGGACATTTAAAAAAAAAAAAAATCCTTGATATACTTACAGATCAACACACACACATACCTCTGTTCTGTAAATACCAATGTGTCTATGTAAACTACTGCTCTGATTCATTTATATCAAAATAAAAATTGTGGTTACAGACAAAATGCTTTGTGTCTCAATCAATCTGGGATGGTGTAAATATTGGATTCACCAACAAGCAAATATACTAGGAAACAACATGTATTTCAGATATTCATCTTTAATACAATTTTAATTACAAATGAAAGGGATAAACAGCAATTTCATTCGGGTCCCCGTTCTAACAAGTCATCTTGGTAACATCCATTTTTCTTCCATTCTCCTTGGTGGACAGGATAGTGACAGGACCTCACAACTCCAGAAAAAGTTATCTACAGTGTAGTGTCACATCCTGGAGGAAAAACAGAGCAGAAGAGTGCAAAGCTTATTAAACATTAACAATATATATTTCAAGACTTGTGTTGCAGCCGGTGGACAAGACAACATTTTACTATTGTAATGGAAAAATAAATCCAATGAAATACCAACAAATTCTGTTAACAAGAGTTATTGGAAGATGATATATCCCACTACTTTGCACTGTCACTTAATTACCTCCACCAAAGAGGTTATATTTTCATCAGGATTAGTTTGTCTTTCAGTGAGTTAGCAGCATTACACAAACATCTGGAAGGATTTCCACAAATCTTTGTAGGATGTGATATGGGTCAGGGAAGAACCCATTCAATTCCACAGATACTTTCTTTGAATGTGAGCATTAGTGCATTTTTCACCAATTTCCCAGTGAATAATTCATGGTCCTTGATAGGAAAAAAATATTTAGAGGAAGCCTAATCTGAGTGTTTGCAATTTGGTGCAGCTTGATTCAATTTTAAATGATTGTTGGGCCTTGACCATTACCATTAAAATTACATATCTAATTATTCGTAAAATATAGTATATATTATGCATATTCATATGACAGCTGGAGTTACTAATATGCAGGTAAAGATTTTGCATTCTAACCAATCTTTGCCTCACGTAACTGAGGTAGAAAATATAATACGTTTCTATAGTTTAAACTAAGCAATACTACAGCTTATTAATCAGTTAAACAAGTTATATGTTAGCTGCACTTTAACTAAGTCATTACAACGTTGCAGTGATGCACAAGAGTTAGTGTCAGAAATAATGAAACCACATAACTAAAATACACTGAACAGGGTCGTTAGTTCCCTTTTACACTTTGCATGTTGTAGCTTATGTCAGTGATACTATTGTACTGACTCTTCATAAATTGAATATGTATTTGCTTGTCGTGCAGTACTGATCAGTGGTGTTGCTGCTTAAAGGATGTGAAGACTCCTCACACCACCGAGTGGGACTGAAGCGTGAAGCTGTCAATGTCACCGCCGCCTCTCCTCCACACAGCCCTGCTGCTGTCAGGGGCCATGATGACTCAACCTGCACTACCATTCTGTGGCTTCAGACCGTCGGTGTGACATGATGAACTTACGTTATGCTGCAGGTTTGGGTTTGAGGACTTTGACGTTGGCTTCTGCAGCCTTCATTGCTTCGCTCCGCAGCTGCGGCTTCAGCGCAGCGCGCACCGCGTTAGCGCAGATAGCGGAGAAGCGGATGTAGCTGCAGAGGACACACACATGTTAGCCGCATGCTAAAGGGCAAACATCGCTGAGGACGATCGGTGTGATGAGATAAGACACAAGTGTGAACATTTCTTTAATGATACATGATATCACCGGTGCATTAGCAGAGAGAGTCGCATCGTACACGGTTGTCACTTAAACGAATGGGTTGGGAAGCTAACTCAGGCTAGTAGCTTAGCCATGTAGCTCTGGTTAGCATTTAATAATGAAATACGTACAAATACTTTGTAAACGTTATGAGTTATGATAAAACAGTCTTTATTAACAACACAGCGTTTAACTGTGACCATAGCAGTGACTCTGTGGTGGATATTTCCTGCAGTCTCTTACCTTAGGCCTGCCTGTCTCCAGTATGCGACCATCTTGTCTGTGTTGTGGCTTCAAGGACAGGTCGGATATGTGCGTGATGACGTCTTTTGACCTACGCAGGCTCTGGTTTCCATGGTTTCTCCCTCAACCAATGAGGACCGCGCAGAGTCATGATTGACAGCTCTGATGTGGTCTGCTCCGCCCCCTCACACAGAGTTATAAAACAAATTGAAGTTTAGCGTTAATAAATATACTGCGAATAAAAACTTTACAAAACCTCACCCTCACTGAAGTTTGATTCTATAGCATTGAAAGTGCTCGGTTTTTCTGGATCAGTAAAATTATTTTCCAAATCGAATGTTTCTCTGACTCAAAACGATTATTTTCTATTTTCATGAAAATAAATAATCTAATCTGAATTCTGTTAATTCTGAATTAATAAGGTTATTTACTGGTTCCATGTTATTAGTTTGTCAGCAATGTGACACCTCAGGAGTTTGAGATTGTAGATTTGTTGAGTACAAAGATTTTTGAGCCAGCTCAGAAATACAAAAACAGACAAACAGAGAAGATGTTTTTCTTCTCTAGTGAATGTAATTTACTTCTCTACACATTTTAAAGATATTTTTAAAGTTTGTGTAGAATGTAGATTAATCTACAACACATGTTCAGGACCATGATGATTTATCTATATATTTGAGTGCGGCTTCTCAGGGAAATAGCAGCTTTTTCATGATAATCATTATTATTAGGACTACGTGGTGATAATATCCAGAATAAACATAATTTGTGGCTGTAGTGAAAGGATTTCACCATGAGCCTGGATGTAGAGCAGAGTAGCACAGGTAAAGAGTTTTAGTGACATGAACCTGTTCATATTATCCTTAATTATACTCACATTTATGAATTAATAAAAAAAAATTAAAATAAACTCAAGGATTGTTCTAGGTGTTGTCAGGGTGCAGTACGTCTCTCTGTCGCCAGGGGGGATGTCGGCGCTCATGTGAACTAAAGCGTCACTCCCCCGGCTCCTCCCTCCTCGCTCACAGGTCACGCTGTCACCAGTCGCCGGCTCCCGAGCCCCGACAGAAAAGTCTGTTAAAATGAAGATCTGGGCGTCAGAGCACATTTTCAAGTGAGTGGTTTTCTGTCTGGGGTCTTGTGTTATAAGAGGAGGGGGCTCAAAGTCACTGGTTCCCCTTGAATGAGCTGTTTAGTCGGTTCCCTCCACACTGTCCGGGCAGCAGCTGCTAGCCGCCTGTCGCTGCTAAGGTTACACCTAAGTTAGGTAACTTCACACAAAGAGCCCGGGGTTAAATGACGTAAAGAACGTCTGGTACTTTATCTGTCGCGGACATTAAATCCAGCCACACGCAACATTATGGTTGAACTCTTCCTACAAATGTCTACATTTGACATTTCCGCCTTTGTCCGCGATAACCGCTGTAGCTAGCTGAGACTGAACTTCTAGGTTAGCGTTAGCTGCTAGCCGGGGAGCTAACTTTAGCAAATCTGATGCAAGTTGCTCCCAAAGTTACATCGTTGTCTGTGTGAAAGCTCGTGGTGACATTGACTCCACACAAGTAAAGATGTATCATGTGTTGTGTTTTCTAATCGCGGAGACTGAAGCTGCGGCTCAGTGTGACATCTGTTATGTAACGTCCTGTTGCACCAGATGCTCTGAGATTAAGAAGCAGCGTCCACCCTCCCAGTAGTTCTCTTCCTCAGTCCTCAGAAAGTATAGCGATGATACGTGGAATCATTTTTGTTGATCTCCCTGAGTGGAAGTGTAAACACATCATGTGATGATCTGTGATGTGCGGGGGGGGGGCGTTCACTGCTTCATCTGTAGCTGAGCAGTCAGAGTCATGCTTCAGTAAAACTCAAACATGTCTGTCAAACATATAATATGATTTCTACACGTGCACTAAGTTTAATGCAGGTCCAGAGGCACCACTACTTTTAATGATTTTCTACCACAATTAGAAATAATCTTTTTCCACTGCCATCGGTGATAATTCGTTGTGGTGTTTGATGGAGCAAAGCTGCTATAGTCACAATCTGAAGACTGCACTTGGCTCAACCCATCAACACATGAGTTACCCATGTGTCTGTCATGAAATGGAGTGATCATCAGCATGATCAATCTGATTCCCACTCTTTGTTATCCTCATCGTCGCAATGCATTTTTTATTTGCAGGTTCAGATCACCTAATCCAAAAAGTAAATAAGATATTCTTATTATTACATTTACCTAATATTATTATTGTAACACAATCGTAACTTATTGTTTAGATTTTTGTGATTATATATCACAGATTCTAAACTTGTGCATTACAATATAAATACTTTATCAGCTAATTTTCATCTGATCCAATTTTCATCTTTTGCCAGGATGCTAAACACCCTGCAGGAATTTGCTGTTTCTAATGTCAGTGTTGGTTTTTGACAGCCACCCATGGGAGACGGTGACTCAGGCGGCGATGCAGAAGTACCCCAACCCCATGAACCCCAGTGTGTTTGGTGTGGATGTCCTGGACAGAAGTGTGGACACAGCGGGACGGTTACACAGCACCAGACTGCTCAGCACAGAGTGGGGACTTCCTGCCATGGCCAAGTCTGTAAGTTACATCATCAAAGAAATGCTTGAGTTGAAGTGAGGCTGCATTTTGTTTCAAGGTGTTAAATTGTTTTTCTTTGCACAAAGCCTGAGTTGTGTCCATTTTCCTCCAGATCATTGGGGCAACGAGAACATGCACGTATGTTCAGGAACATTCAGTTGTGGACCCCAAAGAGAAGACCTTCGAGCTGCAATCTACAAATGTGAGTGTTATTCATAGATGGATCTATATTAATGAGAAGAGACACTTGCTCTTCTTTTGGAGCAATAGTTCTAGTGAGTAGACAAAGAAAAGAAATAAAGACCAAACTACAAAATCGGTAGTTTCTTCTGTGTTTGGAAGATGAACAGAACTTGTTGAACTTTCGCAGACCTCAGAATATCACCTGTCCTCTCTGTGATGTTACCTGCTATTTGTGTGGACATGAGAGCGTACTGAGTGTGTTTTCAGTGGGCAATCCTAATATATGCTGATGCTGTGCTGTTCAATCGTGTTGACTTGATGGGAATTAGGCTGATGCACATGGCTCTTTTGAACATGGTGTCCTTATTACAATGCTGTGTTAAAAATAATATAAATAGAAAAGTCCATGGGCTGTTTTGAACTTGGATGTACTCAACTGTACATTTCAAATTTAGGATGAAACGTTGAAATTCAGATTGTCGATCATCATTATCTTTTACAAATGTGCTACATCGCATGACTATGAATTTCAGGCATGTTCCCTCTGGTAAAAGTTTTTTTTGTTAAGTTTTTACAGCCATTGGTTTGAAAAGGGCATGCTCTATATTTCTCAGTGGACATTACTGTTTGAAACAAAATAAAGTTTAACATTTAACCATCAAAAAGTGATCTATGTTACATGTTCACCAGGAGAACTCTCTATCAGAGAGTGGCTCAATGTTAGAGCTGCGTGGCTCTTCCCTCCCTGACTGTGCTCACTGTAGTTGCTGTTCATTTACCTGTATGGCATGTAAATGTTAACAATATAAACACTGTAAATTTTATATGTGATGTAAACAGACCAACCACTTTATTTTGTCTATCCAGATCTCCTTCACTAACCTGGTATCTGTGGATGAGAAGTTGACGTACAAGCCACATCCGCAGGATCCTGAAAAGTAAATGACCCTGTGTTTAACATATGAAATGAAATCAGTTTGTACAAACGTGCAGAAGTCACAATAGATTTAAAATGTTTTCAGGTTTATTGTTGACCTTTTAATTTATGTGTTTGTTGTTTTTTTCAGAACGGTGCTGACACAGGAGGCTCTGATAAGTGTGAAAGGCATCAGTCTGAGCAGCTACCTCGAGGGTCTCATGGCCAAAACCATCTCTGTCAACGCTGGCAAGGTGAGTAAAGCACTCAAATCTCCCAATAAGTCGTCACGACACTGCGACTCAACAATGTACCTTACTGCGCTTAGAAATAATGTCCCTGTCGTTGTATAGTAATACAGTTGTCTGTCTCAGGGTCGGGAGGCGATGGAGTGGGTCATCAGACGACTAAACACTGAAATCGAGGAGTTGGCGGCAACTGCTCGTGGTACGATACGTGCTCCCATGGCAGCAGCCGTTGCAAACAAATGAGTGGGCCTGCCCCACCGCTTCCTCCTCCATCATGAACCGATGGTCTTCTCAAACCTCTGCCCCTTAAAGGGGTCCTCATCCGCCAGCACAGCCTAGTAACAGCCCCGTCCTTTGGTATGTTTGTCTTTGTACGTCACAAGAAGTCGCTGTTCGTCCTTCCCCAGCAGGCTGCGCAGACGAGTTCGATGCTCGTCTCTGTGTGTGGTGACGGAGAGTATTGAGCTGATGACAGTTAAAAAACAGAACAAACAAACACAGGGTTCAATTGAACTGCACTTGAAGCTCGTAGGACTTAGTCTTGTGAAGTTAAAGCTCTTTTAAAAAAAATTCACGCCGTGCCTCCGCATCATTCATTTAACTTATTCATAACTTTTCTAATCTTTCTCCCCCTCATCTTCGTATGTCTTTTCTTTTTATTCTTCCCAAGTCTTTATGAACAAGCTGATCACTGCTAGCAGTCGAAATGAAGTCACTTTCACCATCCTTTTCTGGCTTTGTACAGCACAACTGGCCAAAATGTGTCACTACTAAAACCTCACCAGTTCCGACAGGCTACCATCTTAGACTGTTAGTCCCTTGGAACCATTTTTAGAAATTCCAGGATTTGGGTATTTCTGTCACGATTAAGGCTCCGAACAAGCCCCCAGAAACATCTGTCAACATGTGTGAAGAGTGTGTTTCTACTATCAAGACAGACACAGCTCAGTGCCAGATCTAAGCACAGGTTAAGTGGCCAGACAGGAACACCAGTTTGCGGTTATTGCATGGTGCTGGGAAAAAAATGGTGCCTTTCTTGTCTGGGTCTGGTACAAGCAGCACAAGTTTGCGTCAAGGTGGAAGTTTTAGTTTGAAAACTCTGATGCTGTGTTTTTGCCTGCGCAGGTTTGCTAACAGCTGTTGTTTAGTCAAATTCTGCTCTTCACAATGAAACAGCTCCTTACATGCGTACAAGAGCTGTTACTCCAGCAACCTGCGTCAATTGCAGTGTGCATCGGTACACACGCCTTCCCGTTAACATCGACACATGCATACCCAGTGTACGTGAGTGGTCATATGATGTGGGTTTTTCAGGTGTGTCGTTTTGGACGTTATCAAAACTGATAAGGAACCAAAACGCTTGTCTTTTATTTTGGAAACATCATAATAGTATTGATGTAACCAGTGTACTTAAGGTCCACAGCTCGGCAGCAGGGTGCGGTGCTGATAAAGGTTGTGCACAGCAAACAAAGACGGCTTGTAGGCTTGTTATTTGTTGAAGGAGTCAAAGCATTTTAACAGAAAGATGCTGGTCTGGTGCTGGTGCTGGTCTGTCTGTGGTCCTGTTGGGCTGATTTAGTTGTCTCGTCTCTTGAGGTCAACAATGACTTGATTTCTCTCTCGTGTTTGTCAGACACTGATTGACAGTAGTGTTACAGTAAATGAACAAGCTTGGATGTTTAACTTATTTTCAGCATGTGTACTTAAACGTGGGGGGGGGGGGTTCTTGAGAAGTACAGAGCTTTGCATTTATATGGCTCTTGATGACCACTCGAACAGTTTGCCATTCACACCCGCACTCATGCAGTGCATCTATTAGCAGCACTTTTTTGGGAGTTCAGCATCTTGCCCATGGACGCTTCGGCATGCTGATGGGAAAGACTGGGGATCGAACTGCCGAACATCACCTGGTTGGAGGATACACACAGCTCTACCCCTCAGCCACAGCCGCCACATGTTCAGTGTGTTGTGAGCTCACCAGTGTTATCAGAGGAGCTCTACAGGGTTATGTTCAAGATCATCGAGTGTGCCAAGATGGAAATCATTTTTACTACCCCCATAACTGTTCACTTAGGATATAATGTATAAACAAACTGTTAATAGATGGTGATGTTTATTGTTTATTTATATTGGTGAATATTGACAAAGACTGTTAGATTGATTGATTAAAAAAAAAAATGTATCTGCAATTTTTATACCTCATTTCCCGGGTCCATCCCTGCAGGACTCTCATACAAATGCTAAGCGATGATGGTTTCAGTTTAATTTACTATTATATATGTTTTGCACCGTACCATCTCTTAATGGAGCTCTACAGCATCTCAAGTCTTCCCACGTGCCTCCACAGTTCGTCTCTTGCTCGACCATCGTGGTCTCAGGTAGTTCAGTCTTTTTCACACCTGCCCCTCCGTGTAGCACCGTCCTGCCCCGGATCCTTCTGTCTAAAGCCTGGTCTGCTTCCTATCAGACCCATCCACCAGTCAGTATCCACACACAGCATCTCCTTCCGTGAGTGAACGGTGATGTTTTTTCTATGGGGAACATTTTAAGTACAAGTGGCTGTAAATAGGCTTCTATTTATATTTTGGTTGTGTTACATTCTGAGAATGTGAACATGGAATAGAATCTGGAGAGTGCACACTGAAATGTTTCAAAATAAAGAGATGTCATTGTTTCATGAACAAGTGTTTTGTTAACTGTCTCAACTCTCTCACTTTAACTGAGGTTCTCCACCAACAAATACATTCATGCCACTAAATCCGAGCATTGGCGCCAATACAGATGAAAATAATTATATTCCTTGGGTTCAGAAATATATAAAATTAAAACTACACTGTTTCAATTGAAGTTCCAGAGCAGCAATACTTTTAGACCCTCTTTCATTTTGTGCTTTTTAAGATTCTTTGTGTATATTTTATGGAATGTGGCGCCCTCTGGTGGTCGCCCACTGCTCCAAACTGGAAAAAACTTCAAACTCCACAAAACCTGAATAAAACTTTGACTTTCTACTGTAGAAAGAACATTTTTCAATTCAGGTTATTACTTACTCATTAACATGAGCAGCATTAAAGTACCATGATATTTATACATGAACGCACCCTTAGAAATAATGAAATATATAAGAGTCTGTACTTTCATACTCTGTAGTATGAATACTGACTTCTGGTGACAGTAAAATTCCCATCCCCTATAATAAGTTAGGTCTCAACACATTTGTACTAATGACAGTTTGATTGGGATTCAGTAATATTTAATCTTATTCATCATTACGTAGGCAACATTGTTTTTTATTGCAGTCAGAGTTGATTTGAATTGATTTTTTTTACATGTGTAAATTATGTATGTAACATTTCTTTATTGTTGTATTATTTATCATTTCCAGTCTAAGATCCAGAACTGGAGTTCAGACGACTTAATCATTTAGCTCTAGCTTCTGTCGTGTGGTATCAGATACAGAAACTTGTCTGTGAACTGCTTGACGTTGAGAGTTACACAGATCTGTTAGTCTGTAAGCTGAAGCCTCTGTCTGTTAACACCTCAGCATCAGAGAAGAGGTCGATGAATCCCTGTTAGGAACAAAGACAGTGGTCAGTTTAAAGACAGTGAAAAGTCAAATATTTAATAGCTGTTTTTAACGTTACTGACCTCCTGCACCTTCAGACCTGAGTTGACCAGCTGTGCATGTTTCAATCTGGGTATGAGGACACCTACGGCCAGTTCCTCTGAAACAGAAAATAGCAAATCATAAATTGATTCACTCGTAATATCAGAAGGAAAAAAAAGTCAACCACTACTGAACATTTCCTCCTCCACTACAGAGGCTATTTCCTTCATGTCTGTGAGGCTCTTCAGAATACAGACAGATTCTGACACAATCTTTTTTAAAGTCCTGATACTTATAATATGAAACTTATGACCAAAGTATTTAGTGTTTGGTTATTTGTTAAACTTTTACAAAAGTATAACTTAAAGGTACAGTGTGTAGAATTTTGTGATATCCAGTTTTGAAATTGCATGTTGCAGCTGAACACCCCTCACCTCACCCTCTCCTTCCAAACATGGAAAAGAACCTGTGGTAACCTTTAAATGTCATAAAAACTCAAAAGGTGTTTAGTTTGTTCAGTCTGGACTAATGTAAAAAACATGGCAGCCTCCATAGAGAGGGTCCCCTCGATATAAATATAAAGTATTTAAATATAAAGGGTCTTCTCTGGGGTAAAGAAAACTACAATTAAATTTAGATGAAATGAACTAGTGAAAACATCATGAGGATTATTCTCCATTAAATATCTGCCAAGAGTTCCCTTTCACCTAAATCTTACACACTGGACCTTTGAGATGCTCCTCATTCATCATTTTAAAGCAGGCTGATCTGATGATGATGACACATGTGCCTTAATAACTAAAATCATGAATTTATTCTACGTACCAAGATTATACTTGATAACTAGGAAGTTGTCCGGTGATTCACAAAGTGAGATATGAATAAATGACAAATAAATGAAACTAAGACTCACCATTGACTTCTGCCAGGACAGTCTCTACTCCTTTCCTTGTAACGTTTTCCAAAGCATCAGTCTGAAAAGAGGAATGTGATGGAAAACATGCATATGAACTTTGCTTGAACTCTTTCCTATTTCTGATCAATGCTTGTGTGCTGCGTTCAACAATCACTTATATAGAAACACAATTGTGTTTGCATAAGAGAAACTGTCTGGCGTACGTGCAGACGGACGATTCGAAACTAGACAGACTTTTACTTTTTTATCCTCAACAATCAAATGCCCTGACTGTTGCTATGCACTTGGCGGAAGTAACCTCAGAGTTCATGTCCTTTCTTGATGATGATCCTCTTGTTGACCCTGATCTGTGCAGTAGCAAACTTCTTCTTTTATGCAGAAGTAAGAGCAGACAGTGTTAACCAGTTAAGCAATAGCATGAAAACTGTGTTAATCAGTTTTCATGCTCAGAAACAATTGTCTCTTATGTTTCCTGTTTACCTGTCTGTATAAAACCTTCTTCTTTCCCTATTCAGGGTTGTTGCACTTTGAGGTGTGCTGAGTGTGCAACCCTCTGCAGAGCTTTCTATTAAATCTAAAGACCTAAAGACAACTCCGGTCTGAGAAACTCTTTATTTCACATCTCGAGATAAATTTCCACCACATGAACTTGATTGTTTACAGTCACACACAAACAAAACATGGTGCATTGTTCTATCATGTTTCATTTACCTTAAATTTTCCGATTTCACTTCCCACCAGTGTCAGTGAGAAACTGTTTGAGAGAAAACAATAACCCACCATTAGTTTAGCTCTGAGTTTGTGATCTCACATTTGTATTTTTAAAATGTGCTGATGCTCACTTGTCCATTGAAACGGAGCCTTTGATTCTTTGATCAGCGATCCACACTGTGCTGCTGAAGTTTGACTCCTGGAAGAAGACAGTGGTTTGACTTTAGGCTACAGAGGATGGTTATTTTAACCAGGAAGTCATTTTCCCTGTTGTTTCCTCAACAACATGTCTGACATTCAGCAGAAGCTTTTGCAGAACAATGTGATAAAAACTAATTTGAGAAGCTGGAATCATGACGATTCCCATTTATGCCTGTAAATAACTGACACTATAGGAATCATCCATTCATTAACTTTCTAATGATTTGATTGTAGAATAATTTGACAGATCCTTTGAGCACTTGTGTAAGTTTTTCTATTGTGGATTGAATAATAACAAAATGTTTATACGTTTCAATTTGGCCCAGAAGTTAAAGGATTTCCTAATAAATAATAATGATACAATATGTATTTACAAGCTCACAAAAAATAACCAAGATGTATTTTTGAGGAAGATCGTTTTGCTCAAAACATCATAATACGGCAAATAAATCCTTTAACATGAGCTTCTAGGTGTGCAGATGTTCACATGAACATTTATTTCTGGGCGTGCTAAAAGGACAGAAAAAAAATGGTACTCACAACACTGAGTTTGAACAGTGGAGTCTCTGTGGCGTTTGGCTGGATGGCGAAGGCCTCAATGGTGCCCTGGATGTGCAGGTTAACAGCATCAGGCTGGAAGGAAAACATCGGAACCTCTGTGGCATTAACCTGCAGGTTCATCAGCAGACCTGGAAACATCTTGGGAAGCTGCAGAGAGAGTTTGATGGTTTGAATATTCTTCTGTTTCATTAGATGGTAAATTAAAACATTTGAGAAGCATATTTTGGAGTCTTCACTGTATGGAGGAGCAGATTATTGATGTTTAAAGTTTAAAAGGGACAGGACTGTTTTCTTGACCTTAAAGTATGTGGATGCTGGCTCTGTGGGATTAGGTGCCTGCAGAAGCCATTCATACACAGAGATAATAAAAGCTAAATATAATCCATATATAAATGAACATACCTGAGGGATGTATGGTCCCATCAGGCTGGTATTCAGGTGCAGGGGAAAACCAGGAGGGATCTGAAAGGATGACAATGTTAGGAAATGCAAACTTCAAACCAAATTTAAATTGTCTTGCTTTCTTTTCTGCTTTTTGAACTTACATTGCTGTCGTTGATGAGGGTCTGAAACATTCTGGCTGAGTAGTATCCATACAAGACAGAGTTCACAGTGAAGTCCGACAGGCCCAGTGACAACATGTAGCCCTGCTGCTCAGGCACGGTGAAAGGCTGAGCTTCAAACGGAGGCTCTGCGTGAGTTTTGATGCTGTAGAACTCACCCTTTAAATAAAGAGTTTCCAATTTTATTTTTTATTTTCACATGCACGAGCCCTCATTTAGCTATAGGTGCCAGAGTAGCTTGAACACAGACGTATAGGTGTGTGTGTAAGATGAAAGTTTGTGTGTGTGTGTGTGTGTGTGTGTGTGTGTGTAAGATGAAAGTTTGTGTGTGTGTGTGTGTGTGTGTGTGTGTGTAAGATGAAAGTTTGTGTGTGTGTGTGTGGTGCCTTTACCTTGAGACCTAGATTCAGACTTGAAACATTGATAACAGGTGAACCGGTGAGAGAGAGGTTCAAAGTGAGAGCCTGACCCACATCGAAGGAAACTGGATAAAATAGAAAGTTAATAGTTTTATCTCACATAACCTAAAGTAAAGTAACATCTGTCTTATGACCCTGGTGTCAGTGTGTGCATTTCATTTTGTAATTGGGGTCTCTATATTCCTTTTCAGGAATATTTCCAAAGTCAGACCCTTTCTCTCCTGAGCAGACACAGAATAGTTAATACATGCTTTAATCTTCAGCAGGTCTGTCACAGAATTATTTTTAAATGATTTTACTAGTTTTAGAATCACTTTGCCCTAAAACTGTGGAAAAGTCTCCCTCATGGTCTTAGGGGCCTTACATCTGTTGACAGAATCTTTAAGACATTTCTTATTACAAACGCCTTTTTCTTTTGTTTTTATTCATTTCATTAATATATTTTATTGTCTTACCTGATGGCTGTTAGATCCTGTCCAATTTTAGTTTAATCTGCTATTTATATCAAATATTATGTAAGGCCATCCGTGTTACATTGCATGCATTGATAATAATAATAATAATAACAATAATAGTAAGAAGAAGAAGACGAATTATTATATAGTAGTCTACTGCAATACCGTTCATGGCCTGTAGGTATCGCTCTAACTTTACAATCGATTCCTCCACATTGGGGCAAATCTGAGGAGGGAACAACATTACAAAGGTTCAGAAAATGTTTACAGTTTATTCATCCTCAGATAATCACATCAGGGAAGACCAATGACTACACGATGAGGAGGAACACTCACTCTGATCTCGATTTCTCTCCTGATTTGTCTCCTGAAAAGCTTCTGAAAGAACCGGAACATCCAGCTGATGACAAATGAGAATGCAGGGCTTTATGTCTTGACATAAGTACCCCCCCCCGCCCCCTGTGACTCTCTCTCTCTGTGTCTCCTGTACCTGGATCCACCATATAATCTGACGTCTACACGTCCAACTTGAGCGTCACAGCTCACACTGGTCACAGACAAACGGCCACCAGCATCTTTCCCCAGCTCCACCACAGAGATCACACTCACCCCATACACAGCCATGTCGAACGTCCCCTTGTCATGACTGGAAACACAAACACATCAGTTCACGTGGAAATCTGGTTGTGCAACAAGAGACACAAAAGCTGCAAGTCACCATCAGCCACCTAAAATCAGCTGCCTGACTGTGCCTCAGTGACTCATCAAGTCATAACTTATCATGGGTTTTTTATTGCATCAATCAATATCTGGAGTTTAATCTGTATAAGGTGCAACATCATCTGTCCCTTTACACTGTCTGTATTTGATCCAGGGCGGTTTGGCACAAACTGGTTTCAACAATCTTGTCTTTTGTCTTTTTGGGACCTGAAGAGCAAAGTAAAGATATATGTTACAAATTAAAAGGGAGGATGGTGGAATCTGTGTAAGAACAAAGCCAAAGCTGCTCCATGCATGAACATATAAAATAACAGAAGACAGGACGCACTGACCTGACACATTTAAAGAGACACTTTTCTAACCACATGATGACTTTTATGAACTCCTCAATCAACATTTAAAACAGAAGCATGTAACTTATACCTTGTAAAAAGGTTTGATTTTCATACAACCACACTTTTATCACACTTTTGATGATAACTTCAGTTTTTCTCAAGATTTGTCTTTCGCCCAAATGGAAAACCCGACAGTATGCAAACCCTGGGTTGTGTAGTCGCTGACTTTGAGATGAAGGAGTTTACATGTAGGGCAGAGACTAGATCAAACTCACAATATACCGAGGCATGTCCTCCACTGTCCGTACAATGCAACATTGAGGCCTGACAGTGACGTCTTGAATCCTGAGGAATCGGGATAGAACTCAGTAGACGGCTCTGGAAGGTCACACTTCTTTATACTGGTGCTGGAGCACATGAGGAGAGCACAGGCACGCGTTAATAGGTGAAATGACAGAGACCTACTGATAATAACAATAACAATAATAATTATAATAATAACTTTGTTGAGAGAGCAAATTTCCAAACAAAGTTACAAAGTGCTTTACAATAAAGCAGACGATGAACATAATAAAATACAAAATATAAAATGTAACAGGAAAATATTCTATTGTTTCAACCATACCAAAGGTTAAGAATATGCCATTTGATAAAAGTGAGTCTTGAGTAGAGATTTAAAAGAAGATGGGAGTTTTCCTGCCTGAGATCTCCAGCAGTCAGACTTCTCACCAGATTCACTAAAATAGAGCATTTTAGCTTCTCTTCGTTGGCTTCAATACATTTTAGAACTGATTCTGAGATTTTATTGCTGACTTTTAAGGTTAAAGTACATTTCAATAAGTCCCTGTCGTAACCTGAGGTCTTCCCCTGTGGAACAATCTTCCTGAGGAAATCATTATCCTCTTTTAAATCTCTCTAAAAGACACGCTATCATAGGTAAGCTTTCTACTACTATACTGATCTAACCAACTACTTTAATAATTGTATTTCAATTTATGATCTTTTTAATCTTCTCTAATCTGTAACACTTTATATTTCTTTATTTGTGCCACAATGCTGTGTGTTTTTAAAAATGCTTTTGGCATGTGTCTTATTGTTTGCCTTTAATTTTTCCTGATTATTTTGAAAGGTGTATTTACAGTTATTATCATCAGTGAGTCGGGCTCTGCTGGAGGATCTCAGACAGTGAGGGGGTCAGCAAGAGCCCAACCGTTCAAATCTTAAAATCAATAACTCACAGATAACCAGTGAAAGGCAGCAAAGATTGGTGTCATGTCGTTACTTCTTTTAGAGCGTGTTAAATTCCTGGCAGCATACCGTGCTGTGGTTTTAAGATTTAACATGACAGGTACATTAAATGACCTACAGTGAGATGGCACCTCCCTCTCTTTACTCTCAATGTGCTATATTCATCTGTCTGTGCAATATCAACTGTTCATGTGCAATACATTCAATGTTCACATGTTCACACTGCATATACTTTTTATATGTATAAACACTACAATTACATATCTTTACACTGTATATACTAGTTTAATTACATTCATATTTTTCTACATATTTTTAATATTCCTTACACTTAAGTATTGCATGTTACTAATTCATTGCTGAGGCCTATTTGACTCTTGCTGCTGTAATACTGCAAATCTTCCCATTGTGGGACTAATAAAGGATTATCTTATCTCACTTTTTTTTGCACCCAAAAGTTCAAATATACCCCATCTACTCTCTTTAAATAGTAAACAGTTTGAAGGGGTATAATCTTATTATGAAATTTGGAACCAAAAAGAACGTCAGTGTTCAGGAATCTCGAATGTATAACGTACCCGGTCAGTGTGTAGTGTATGTTGACCACACAGCCTACGTGACCATTGAAGTCAGGGAGGGTGATGAACTCCAACATCCCCTGAATCCAGTCTGTCACTGCGTGTTTCCCTGAGACACAGCACATGCATGAAGTGTGAATGCAACATGTCTTACATACAGATCATACAGTAAGATTTTGTACTGCTGCTTTACTCTTACAAGATAAGATAACACGAGATAACATTATTTATTATCCTTTATTAGTCCCACTATGAAAAATAATGTTTACAGTTACCGTGTTTAGCTGAAAAAAGGAAAAGAAGTTAAAGGAAATAAATAAGTCAATGTATATAATATGAACTCAAGAAACAATACAAAATAGAATTATGTAAAATCATAAACAGTAAAACAATGCCTCTCACTCTTACACCTTACCATACTGAAGCCCTTTGTTGGTCAGGATGACTTGTATTGCAGGGTTTTCTGCACAGGTGCAGGAGAAGAGTGTGAGAACTGCTGCCACAGACAGAAGCATGTTGCCGGGACCCCCCCCCTATTTGCACCAAATAAAACATGTGAGTAATTACTTTAATCACAAAACTCACAGAACTAATGAGACATTTACATTCCTAGTGTGAAACATAATGTCTACAATCCAACATGGTGTTCATATTAAAGTGGATATGAAGCATATACCTGAGTCACTGCAGGATGAATTGGTTGAAGGTGGCTGCTGATGTTTCTTCTACATGTGAGCGAACGTCGTCTCCGCTTCTGTGCTTTATGCGCTGCTGGTGCTTCCTGTATCACCGAGAAGTGAAACTCAGCCACACGTGACAATAGTGATGTGCTGGTGTCTCGAAAACCACATGGTACTTTTTCTTCCTTTTTCTTTGTTATTCTTCTTCTCTTAATTACGGATTTGAAAGACACTATAGTGTGTAAAAGAACTCACGACATATACCAGCAAAGTGTTGATAGAAATACGCACCTGCACTGAAGGTAGAGAAGTGTTTTAAATTGATGTCAGTGCATCTTAGAATAAAAACATATCTAGACATATGGACAGTTACCTTTAAAGGGGAAGTGAAACCTACTACCTTCTGTTGACTTATGTATTTCGAATTATTTTACGGAATGAGCAAAAGAAGAACTTTGAGATCTATTGGCTCGAAAATCCGTCTTCTCCACAACCTGTTATTTTTTTAACAATTATTTTGGGCCCCAAGATTTCCGGTGCACACCCAGGTCTGATCAGCCTGTGGTGGGCCTGCCCTCGGAGAGAGGGTTTGTGATTAACAGGCCGGAGCCCCCGATGACACTAAGGTTAGGGTCGCTAACATCTGCTGTGAAGCTTTTCAGTCCCCCCCCGGTAACATTTCATTACATTTGAATGCGCAAGGAGACATTAGAATCACCAGCCATAAAATATTTGATTTATTTATCTCTTAATTCAACAAACTCTTGGTCTCACACACCATGATTAGTTCCATTTAAATCACAAGTAACACGTTCAATAGGAAGAGAATATCATCAGACAGACAGTTTTCATACATATAACACAGTTAGGACCCACTTGCTTGAACTTTGAATTCACTTCATCCAGAATGACACTTGAAACACCAAGAAAACAAAACCAATCAACAGGACCACTAGCTATAAGATGTCAAATAAAACACAACAAAAAAACCAAACTGAAAATAAAAAGTAATTCTGTTTTAAACAACTACACATAAGTTATTCATGGTTTTTTAATATTCCACAGAGCATCCTGTGATCTGAAGGGTGCCCTGCTCTTATATTTTCTCTGAAGTGGGATTAATGATATATCTAGCAGCTCAAAAACCAGTAACAACATATTCACCTCATTGTTTTTCACATATTTCATTCCCCAACTATAAACACGTACACACTCACAGTTATAGAGCCACGGCAGACATTTTCACTGGCTCTCTGATAACTTTGCATGAAGACTCAGGCCTGGACGGGCTCCATCATGCCTGCATATTATTTAATCACCCCCCTGTCATGCGGAGGCTGTTTTCCTGTGTCCACTTAATAAAACATGTTTTCTGGAATGAGAAGACTAGACTTTACACTATGATTGTAGAGTTCATTATTGCACATTATATCACGAAGGCAAAATAAAAAGATGTAGGCTACATTTCACACTAATAATCCTCCTCCCAAGCTTCTATGTCAAGTGGTCAACATGATGTTTTGATAAGGTCTGAGTCATGACAGCCTGCAGGAGTGCGGCATTATGGGATGTCACGTTTCAGTAAAAGGTCATCTCTGAAGCTCTCAGTCTTGGATATTGTACCTGTAGGCCTCTATGAGTCCTTCAACCGAGTGAATGAAGCCAGATATGGCGCATATGCCTCCAATTACAAAAATGGCAACGTCGAAGAAGACGTGGTGCCACAGGAGGTTCCTCCACTGGAGCTTCAGGTGGAAGAGGCTCGGCAAGAGGAAGCAGAGGCCGGCGCCGGTGAGGCTTCCAGTTAGCCCCATCAGAAGGGCAAAATGGGGGACAAAGACAGCCATGAGCAAGGTGAAGACTACCAGGGTGACTCGAAGGCCGAGACCCCAGGATTTCAACTGCCCATTGGGGCCGTAGCAGTCAGGAAACACGGCCCTGCCGCCGTCTTGGAAAAAGGATTTCTCCAGAACCTCAACTGCAGCAAAGAAAGGCAGCGGGTAGGATAGCAGCGCCTTGGCGACGAGGAAGATGTTCACCACGGCCCTTATGGTTGAAGGCAGGTTATCCGTGATGACCTCTTTGGTGGCGTCTGCCCACGTCAAGTAGGCCACCAGGGCAAAGAGGCCCTTGAGGACGCAGGCAGAGATGTGAGTCCAATCCATCATGCAGTGAAACTCGCTGGGCCTCTGCATGTTCCCCTCCAGGGAGGGCAGGAAGATCTGGGAGGTGTAGCTGAACACGATGATGCCGATGGAGATGGGGAACTTCTTCACGTCGATGTAGAACTTGACCTTCTCCCAGGCCCACTCACGCGCCCTGGACAGACAGTAGGCGATCACGAGGACGTTGATGACGAAGTGCGCCAGCGTGCACAGTAAGCTAAACTTGGACACGGCCTTGAGGTTCTTCAGGAACGCGCACGGCAGGAGCGCGGCCGTGGCCACCACGGACCAGGCCTTCTGGGAGACGGGAAACCCCGGGAAGCTGTTGTACATCAGGTTGCCGCTCACCACCACGTAGAGGATGCAGGTCATGACCAGCTCGATGATCTGCGCCACGTTCACGACGTGGCCGCCCAGGGACGGGAAGCGGGGCGCGCAGCAGGCGTTGGCGATGTCCACGTACGAGTCCCTGACGCGCACTTTGATGCCGTCCTCGTTGTCCTCGTACAGACACGCGATGAGGATCTTGCCCGTGTAGCAGCACACCACGGCCGCGAAGATAATGAGGAAGAGGCCGAGGTAGCCGCCGTGGAGGATGGCGTACGGCAGGCCGAGGACGAACATGCCCTGCGGACAGAGAGGCGCAGTTGAATGGTAATGGACGAGGCCCACATCGCAGTGACAGGTCGAGGCAGCCCGGGCAATGACTGGCTCACACAGCGCACATCTTACATAATAACAGTAAAAAATACATGGGGATATTTGCGCATTCAAGCGTCATGCGAAGCAAACATGTGTGATTTAACCCAACGGATCCATTTCTCATGTCTGCATCACACCAATTCTTTTCTATTTCACTTCGCCCTTGAGAAAACAGGCCTTTAGTTTGCTTTAAGGAAATTAGAGCTTTCAAAGGAAACAATTTCAAAACGAAATGTTCGTTAATTTGTTTAAAAACTGCATTTGATGGAGCCGCTGATAAGCACGTGGAGCCATTGAGACTCAGGGCTATCACGGAGGAACAGGCCCTGCCTGCAGCTCAGCTGATAAACAGATTTGAATAAATACATTCTAAGACCCACTGAATGCAAAGAATCACACACAATCCAAGAATTGTTTAATGTTAAATGGAAGCATGCATTTAATACGCCCATGATTAAAATATAGCAGATTAAAATATATTAAAATATAATTTAATTCTGCTATGTTAAATAGTTTTCTTTATTCTATTTTTTGTTGGTTTAATTTACGCGCACCTCCAGGCCCTCTTCTTCCTAAAACATCTTCAAGGTGACATCTTGTGCAGTCGCAGGCCTTCATGCATCTCATGCTATTCTTTGCATCCTCACATGATTTTGATAATAAAGTGATCACAGTGTACCTGAATGGCGTTGGTGACGTTCCAGCCAGCTTCCCATGTCGTGATTTTTGGTTTGTCCTCGTCCAGAGAGCCTCCTGTCTTCAGGGACGAAGGCCGGGGCCCGGTGCCGTCCCTCTGGTAGTGGCTGTCTCCGTCCAGATCCCCATCTCCCTCCACGTGTGCCCCTTCGTCCTCTCCCTGAAGGACATCCATCTGCATCCCTTGTCTGTAGTCATAATCCAGGTCGTCGCACTCGGCGAAACCCAGGCCCTCCTCGTCCGTCGCGGCCTGGAAGCCCAGGCGGGCGAACACCCCGCTGACCTTGGCCTGGGATTTGTTGGACACCGTGTGGGCCGCGTTGGTCAGCTTGTTGGAGAGCTTGTGTCGGATCAGGTGAGCCATCTTCTATCTGAGTAAATGCGGTCTTCGAATGAGAATGATATTACGGAGTGAAAAAGCAGAGCTGCAGATGCATGCAGGAGAGAGGTTCAATTCAGTGCTACACTGAAGTCATGCCTGTTGCCTCTTCGATGTGGAGCTGCCTGACCGTCTCACCCAAACCCTTCACAAATCCTCAGCCTCTTCTCTCAGCCTGCTCATCCATATTAGTCCTTCACAGAAAGAACAAGAAAACACTCAGACATGAGTCTCAGCGAGGAAACGCCCCGAAACATGCAGAGGAAAAAAATGTGTCCTCGATCATTTGTGGTTAAAAAAGACAATTTCGCATATTTCTTTTCATCCAAGCTGTTTTTTTATTCTCCCTGTTGGGGGTCCTGGTGGTGACAGCGCGAGCAGTGGAATCTCTGACTGCATCACCCAATGAGAGAGAGAGAGAGAGAGAGGGAGGGAGGGAGAGAGGAGCGTGCACGTGTCCGCATAGAGAGCCGGTGTAACACGGCTCGTGCACAGCGGAGGAACTGTCACGGAGAGAGAGAGGGAGAGAGAGAGAGGAGTGTGCACGTGTCCGCATAGAGTAAGATGCGCGACAGTGTGTTGCAATGTTTCTGACATTATTGCTTGAATGAATGAAAAGATCAAACATTTCACCTGCCCTCGTGCTCTACTCTGTCAACAGGTACCCCCCCCCCCAGCCCCAGCCCCACACACGGCCATCATGCATGCAACAATAGCATTAACAATAAAAAATCTTTCTGCATCAACTTATCAAAAAATGAGGAATTAAAAATAGCCTGTATTTATGATATTTTTTAACATTCATCTGCAGTTGTATTTGTATTTGTAATCAAAATTTAACTGGATTTTAATAAAATCGTAAGGATAAACAAGTCTTCCACCTGATCTGTTCAACTGTGTTTTAACACGTGAATCAATCTTATATTTATGAAATGAGGCACACACTGAACCTATTTTCAAAAATATCAAGACAAAAGTATATATATGGAACATATGTGGGATACTGTTTTTAAAAATAAAAAAACACAACTATTGTTTTCCCATAGAAAATAATCAAATGTTTCCAAATATTGTATTTTTTTATTTTTAAAAAATCCTTTTGTTGCGTAAAAAAACACAATT